AGCATTAATCCAAAAAACACAAAATAATAAATGCTGGAGAGGTTGTGGAGAGACTGGAACACTTATACACTGTTGGTGGGAATGTAAAATGGTACAAGCACTTTGGAAATCTATTTGGTGCTTCCTTAAAAAGCTAGAAATAGAAGTACCATATGATACAGCAATCCCACTCCTTGGAATATATCCTAGAGAAATAAGAGCTGTCACACGAATAGATATATGCACACTCATGTTCATTACAGCACTGTTCACAATAGCAAAAAGATGGAAACAACCTAGGTACCCATCAACGGATGAATGGATAAACAAATTATGGTATATTCACACAATGGAACACTACACAATGATAAAGAACAATGATGAAGCCATGAAACATCTTATAACATGGAGGAATCTGGAGGGCATTACGCTAAATGAATTTAGTCAGTCACAGGACAAATATTGTATAAGGTCACCATTGTAAGAACTCAAAAAAAGGTTGAAACACAGAAGAAAACATTCTTTGATGGTTAGAAGGGTGGCGAGGGAGGGTGAGGGTTATTTACCAACTAGATAGTAGATAATAATTATCTTAGGTGAAGGGAAGGACAGCACACACTAGAGGGGAAGTCAGCACATCTGGACTAAACCAAAGCTAAGAAGTTTCCTGAATACAATCAAACACTTTGAGGGACAGAGTAGCAGAGGTAGGGGTTTGGAGACCATGCTTTCAGGGGACATCTAGGTCAATTGGCATAACAAAGCTTATTAAGAAAATGTTCTGCATCCTACTTTGGTGAGTGGTGTCTTAAAAGCTTGCAAGTGGCCATCTAAGATGCATCAATTGGTCCCAATCACATGGAGTAAAGGAGAATGAAGAACACCAAAGACACAAGGAAAGCAGTAGTCCAAGAGACAGAAAGGGTCACATAAACCAGAGACTTCATAAGCCTCAGACAAGAAGAACTAGATGGTGCCTGGCTACCAGCAATGATCGCCCTGACAGGGAACACAACAGAGAGTTCCTGATGGAGCAGGAGAAAGGTGGGGTGCAGAACGCAAATTCTAGCAAGAACACCAGACTTAATGGTCTGACTGAGACTGGAGGAACCTCGGAAGGCATGGCCCCCAGATTCTCTATCAGCCCAGAACTAAAACAATTTCTGAGGCCAACTCTTCTGACAGGGATTGGACTGGACTGTGGGACATAAAGTGATACTTGTGAAGAGTGTGCCTCTTAGCTCAAGTAAATACAAGAGACTAAATGGGCAGCTTCTGTCCGGAGATGAGATGGGAAGGCAGAGAGGGTTAGGAGCTGGCTGAATGGACATGGGGAATCAGGGGTGGAAAGTGGAGTGTGCTGTCACAGTATGGGGAGAACAATTAGGGTCAAATAACAATGTATGTATAAATTTTTGTATGGGAGACTAACTTAAAATGTAAACTTCATTTAAACTACAACAATAAAAACAAACTAAAAATATATATTTAAGAATAATATTCAATAAAACTAGAAAGGAAAAAATGATAAACATAAAATTCCTACTCTCTGGGGGGAAGAAAGATAATGGAATCTTGGAGAGGTGCTCCAGTTATTTCAGATATACTTAAAATGTTCTATTTGTTAATCTGGGAGTGGGTAAACTGATGTACCCCTCTATTGTTTTTCCTTGTACTTTACTTATGATATACTTTTGTATATTAAGTAGCTGATAGTTAAAATTTTATACTGAAAATGAAAATTATAAATAAAGAGAACTTTAATTCAAGATGGTGATTCACCAAAAGTTTTTGTGTTTCCTTCCTCCCAAGAACTCCATAAAATGATGATAATAGACTAACCCCCCACACTTAAAGAGAATGCGAGGTAGGCCATATGTACATAAGAGATTTCCATAAATTTCAGAAAGGACTTAGAATTGTGTTCACGGATAAAACAAATGAAAAGTAGCAGTCCAAAATGTTTGGGAGCAAACTTCAAGGAAAGAAATATCCAGGTTTCTCAAAAGAATCCCACAGAGAGAGGGCCATTAGTAAAGGGATATTAATAGAAAGTCTCTCTACTGAAAAACTGGGGCCAAATTGGTGTTGAATCTCCTCCCTCTACCATATCCCTGCTCTCATGAGTTGTTCAGACATTTTACTCTCAAGCAAACACTTGGAGATCTCATCTATTCAGAAATTAAATAAAAAGTATAAGGAAAACTCAGGCTGCTATAATAGGTGTTGGGGTTCCATACAAACACGCACTGACAACTGGAGGCCCTTTCCTTACTCACCCTGAAGTAAAGTCTACCAGGCCACAAACCCCATCCATATACATAGAGTTCTCATTAGCTGTCCTACTCATGGGAGAGAAAGAGAGGGAAAAATAGAGGAAATCTGTACTAGATGACTAGGAAAAAATAACTTCATTTTCCTTTCTTACATATAAATGAACAGCCAAAGATCACTGGACATGTGGGAGAAAACAAGGATAAGCAGAGTTACTGAGCCAGGAAGAAATACTGATAATTTAGGAAACAGAAGAGAATTTTTAAAACAAAACTAGTATTGTTGAGTTACAGACTAGATTACATACACAAAAAAATCAAACAAACGAAAAACAAAACCAAAAACAAAAACCGGGGCACTGTAAACACCAAACAGGAGACAGTGAAAGAGCTCCTCCACCAAAATCAACAGAAAATAAAGTTAAGTAACTCTCCTAAATCTTGGAGTCAAAAGACAAAAAGATGGAGCGCATAAGATAAAAGATAATAGACACAGAGGATTAATTAAAGATGTTGAAAATCTAATAGGAAATCCAAAAAAAGTGAAGAGAAGAAAAAGTAGGAAAGAATATTATCCAAAATATAATAGAAGAAAGTTAACCAGAGTTGAGGAGAGATGTCTGACTTCAAAGTCTTTACATATCCCTGAAATACTAAGAAGAATGAAGAAGACCAACATCTGCACAAAGTATAATGAAATTTCAAAATATCAAAATTAAAGAAAAAATCCCAAAGCTTTTAGAAACAAACAACAACAACAAAATCATCCAAAAACACAGTCTCTACTCTCTGGGGGGAAAAAAAAAAAAGCTTATTTATTTATTTTTCAACAGTAACACCAATGCTAGAAAGCAGTGGAGAAAGCCTTCATTTTGCGAGGGAAAATTATTTACAATTCAGAATTATATACCGAACCATTCTTCCAATCAATAATGAGTGCCCAATAAAAAATATTTTCAGACAGTTAAGGAATCAGAAAATTTACCATCGACATAAACCTCTTAAGGAAGTTATTTGAGGATATACTCTACCAAAATGAGTGTGAAAACCAAGAAAGAGGGAAACGTCAGATATAAGGAAATGGTATAATTAACCCAAAACTACAAAGAAAAGAAATACCAGCATGGCAGTTGTGTAGCAAGACTAGAAACAACTAGCCTAATTTAGAAGAAGGAGCAAGAGGGCTCCAAAAAGAATGTTTTCAGCTAGAAGAACCAAAAGATTCCAAGTAATACACAAAATGAATAAACAGCTGGATAATATCAGTGACATGAAGGAAGAAAGTATACGGCTATCCCCTCAACAACAACAAATTCTAGGAAAAGTACTTAAGGAAATAATGATCCAAGTATTAAGCTAAATGAAAGATGATTACTATATAAGAAACATGGGTATACTTACTATTTAGAATTATAAAGAGCTACCCATCAGAAATTAAAAACAAAAACAAAAACAAAAAGCTCTCCCTGCCCTTTCCCGGGAAGTGGAACTCACATGAGGAGGCGGGATTTGGATTGAGGTACTATTGGTTTTTTTTGCCTTAAAAAAACCAGTGGACCTTGATTCTGACTCATGGCAACCCCATGTGTGTCAGAACAGAACTGTGTGCTCCACAGGGTTTTCAGTGGCTGCTTTTTTGGAAATAGATTGCCAGTTCTTTCTTTCGAGGCATCTTGGGGTGGACTTGAACTTCCAACCTTTCCATTACCTAGGGACTTTTATACATTATGTATTGTTTTTTGTTTCCATGTATAAGCACTATTTTGATTTTAAAATGGGGGAAAAGTTAAATGGCACAGTTAGGAATGATTCTTAAGGTATATCTGGGCCATTTGTTCTTAAATTTTTATTGGCTATCAAATAGAGAAAGTTATTAAACTCTTACAAATAAGAACATGATGTAAACTTCCTTGAAGTTATACTTGTATTTGAAATGCTCACCATCAACAGGTAGATTTTTCATCAACTCTGAATGTTCCTTCTCTGTGAGTTCCACCCCGATACTTTCTAGAATATTTTTGATTTCTCTGATATTGGCTTTGTCTCCTTCAAAAATGATAGAAATAAAAACAAATGAGAATTAAAGAGTTATCTAATGACTTGAAAATATTTTTAAAAATTATTTGTAACTACTAATATCTACCTCAACTGTTTTATAAACAACAAAGGCATAGTGAGGCCCATCCAACTAACCACAGTTATGGGACTCAAAAGAAAGATAATTCATTTCATTACTCCTAGTAAATGAGGTTATTTCATAATGATGTAGTCAAATCAACATAGCACACAATAAAATATGAAACATGCAATTTTCTTGCATTTTGAATTTTTTAGATAATTGAGCTAATAATTCTGTAATCCTTTTTACTATGTAATTTATGCAAGTACTTGTATCTCTATCAGTACTTTACTTATTTGCTGTGTTAATTTATAATTTGAAACATGTAATAGTGAAGTTATACCACTTAAAATACTGCAGGGAATAAAGACTAACAAGAAGGGTTAACATTTATTCTTAAATACAGACAATTCAAAGTCCAACTTTGGATAATTAGATGCAAACATGGGTAGAAGAGGAAAAATATTTAAAACGAATAAAATACTTGTGGGAAAATATCACTAAAACACTTAGTGTAAAGAATTAGGGCTTACCTGTGATAGCTTTCACTCCATCCATCAACTTATTCAGATCAACCTTCCCAGAAGCTATAAGGAAAGGCATGATTAAAATACAATGTCACAGACACAGAAAAAAAAATAGAATATCCAAAATTTGAAACAGATCTTAGCCCATGTCCATTCTCCCTATTATTTTTTGTAAATCATCCTTTAATGACTAGATTTTAGGGATTCATGGTATAATAGTAAAAGGCCTTCTGTCCCTGTGACACAGAGTGTGGTCTGGGAAAACATGCTCTTTTCTAGTTCGTGGGTAGCCATTCTGTATTAGAAGTACAATAATTGAGAGGATTGATTCTGGCCAAGTTGATTAATTCTCACTTCTGTCACAGCCAGAAAATTCAGACAGGGGTCTTTGAGGAAATGAGAAGTAACTAAACTTCTCATCTCCCACGTCCTTCCCAATACTCTTTCCTGAAGTTTTAAAATCATCATGACTATCTGAAATTATTTTTTTTACATGATTGCTGTACACTTTAGACAACTATTAATGGCATAGGAAATTCTCATTTTTAAATCACTTAATGTTAATTGATCTATTTATTCAATCAGTCATTCATCCATCTATCCATCTCTTAAATATGTTTTGAAGACCTACTATGTACTAGATACTTGGCTAAGGAAACACACTTTGAAAGATGAGTAAGACACTCTCTACCTTCAAGAATTTCACAGTTTAGATTAGCAGCTGGAGAAAACCTTGTGAAAACAGTGAAGTGAGTTAAGTACATCTAATGCAGTCCATGGAGGCGGGCAAGACTTCCTGGAAGAGGTATATTCTGAGCATAGTAGAAGTTATCCAGGTGAAATATGTGGATGTAGGAGGTAGGAGAAAGGCACTATTAAAAATGCAAGCCTGGTTTAGAAAAACATTTATATACTCTTTCTGAATATATCTAAATATTAGGTGCTATATTTAGGTCCTGAGTATAATAAATATGCAATTGGATAATAACAGATTTTGTCCTCAAGAGTGCAATCTCATGGAGGGGAGATAGGCATATTATATGAAAGTTATTGTAATAGAAATCCTTGGTTTATTTAGAGCAGAGTTTCAAATACATATAGAAGGGAAATTGGGTGATATTGCTTCTCAAATGCATAAAATTGTTATCTACTGATTTGAAAAAGAGCTGAGAAACTTCCTGAGCAAGAGCCTTGAATTCCTGTCCACTACCTTATGAATTATACACATCAAACACTATTGACTGCCTAGCATGTTCTTTATAGTTCAGGATGCTAGAAAAGATAGCACTGATAAGGAAAAATGAATATGATGTGGTGAGCCAGATCTAACAATGGAACATGAGGATCTGAGGGGAGTGGTAGCTTTAGGATCAGTGAGGTGGTGGCTAATGGAATTCATCCCCATGCCTCCTAGAATAAAGAGGTTATGTGTGAACCAAAAGAGCTTTATTGCTAAATATAGCAAAACATTGAGAGTCAAGCAATCTCAGTGTTGGCTCCTAAGCTGAGTGCAACACAGAAGAGCATCTTGTTTTTCACTTCACTGGACTGGTGATGAGAAACTCAACATCTACGCTCCAGTTTCTCCAACACAGTTTTATCAGATTTGAAGGTTACAGAAGTGGTACTGGGAACTATACACAAGACACCCTGTAAGGCACCGGCAGTAGAAGTATGATGATGGCACACTCTTTAAGCCAATAGAGCTCAGAGTCTAGTAACAAAAACAGACATATAAACAAACTTCAACACGATGTGATAACACTAATAATAAAGATGGAAATAGAAATAGAAGCGGAAGAAACCTAATGTAGTGTAAGTTCTAAAGGGAAGGCTTCATGGAGAAGGGGATATATGGAATACATTAAAAAATGAAACTTGACATATTGAGCACATGCTTATCTCCACTGCCTACTGAAACGTCACTAAGATGACAGCAATAGCATAAAAAAGGCATAAATATACAAGGACAGAAAACAGAAGAGGAGACCATAGTGGGTAAAAGATTTCAAAAAATTTGGAAGTGGGAAGCAGTGATAACTGAAGGAAACTGCCATCTGTGTTCCTCAAAAAGAAATACAAATGAAAATTGAGACAATTTGCCCTGAAGATCCCTGGAAAGACGCAGGCCTGGGAGTCAGACACTAGACACGTGCAACACACGGGCTTAAAATGTTAAAATAGTTGTAATTCTGACTGAAAGTCTACATGTGGAGAGGTGGAACTAGAAAGACCAAGGAGAGCAGACTGAACAGATGACTCTAGAGGAAACCAGGAATAATTTGTAGAACAGAAGAAAACTTCAAAAATCCCTAATTAAACACACAGAAATTTTTGAGAAAATATCACATCATAAAACAAAAACAGGTTGTTAAGAAAAAGGAGTAATAAAAAAGAGTTCTTGCAATTTAAAAATATAATCACCAAATATTTTTATATTAAGAATTCAAACACAAAACGAACTCAAAATGGATCAAAGACCTCAATGTTAAAAATGAAACTATAAAGTTCCTGGAATATAATATACGGACAAAACTATGGGACCTAATTTTCTTTAGAAATAGATTATCAAACAAAACTACAAATGCATGAACAACAGAAGACAAATTAGATAACTGGGATCCCCTAAAAATTAAATACTTATGTTCATCAAAAGATGTTATCAAAAGAGTAAAAAAACACCCTACAGACTGGGAAAAAATTTTTGGGAATGACATACCTGATAGTGGTCTAATCTCTAAAATATACAGAAAACTGCAACAACTCAACAACAAAAAGACAAACAATCCAATTAAAAAATGGGCAAAGGACATGAACAGACACTTCACCAAAGAGGAATTCAAGCAGTCAAAAACACATGAAAAGATGCTCGAAATCATTAGCCATTAGAGAGATACAAATCAAAACTACAATGAGATACCATCTCACCCTTGCAAAAATGACACTGATAAAAACAAAACAAAACAAAACCAGAAAACAAATGCTTGCAAGGTTGTGGGGAGACTGGAGCCTTTATCCACTGTTGGTGGGATTATAAAATGGTGTAATAACCACTACGAAAAACAGTATGGTACTTTCTCAAAAAGCAAGAAATAGAGATACCTCATGATCCAGCAATCCCACTCCTAGGCATATACCCTAGAGATCTAAAAGCAGTGACACAAATACACATATGCACACCTATTTCATTGCAGCATTATTCACAATAGCAAAAAGATGGAAAAAACCTAACAGCCTATCAATAGATGAATGGATAAACAAATTGTAGAACATACATACAATGGAATACTATACAGCTATAAAGAATAATGATGAGTTCTTTAAACATCTTGTAACAGGGATGAATCTGGAGGACATTATGCTGAGTGAGATGAGTCAATCACAAAAGGACAAATATTGTATGATCTCACTTTTATAAAAAGACAAGAACAGGTATACATACAGAAAGCAACATTTTTTGGTGGTTACCAGGGATGGGAGGGGGAGGGAGGGAGAATCACTTTCTAGATGGTAGACACTTATTTTTACCAAACGTGAGTGAAGTCTGCACAACTTGACCAAGATAAATGATGACATTAAAAAGTACACAAGGATAAGGAATATTTTTGGTGAATGCATGTGATGGTTAACATTGTGTGCCAACTTGGCTGGGCCATGATTCTCAGTGTTTATATGTGATCACTCCCATGATTGAAAATGCTGTGAGTAGCCAATCAGCTGAAAGGGAGTTTCCTTGAGGGTGTTGCCAGCATTTAAATATAAGCAGATGTTCTGGCTTTTTGCTCGCTCTGGATTCTGCAGCTGCCTCCTGTTCATCTGACCTCTGGTTCTTGGGACTTGAGTTACCAGCTTATCTGCCAGTCCGGGGATTCGTGGATCTTCACAGCCTGTGAGCAGAGTCCTGCTTTCCAACCTGCTGATCTTGGGTTTGCCAGCCCCTGCAGCTACGTGAATCCGGAGAAGCCTCTACCCTAATCCATGGACTTGGGACTTACCAGCCTCTACAATTTCGTGAGCTATTTCTTTGATATAAATCTCTATATATATTTATACACTTTACTGGTTTTGCTTCTCTAGAGAAACTAGCCTAAGACAATGCTATAACATACACAATTTTGCAACAACAGCAATAACAACCAAAAAATATGTGTGTAGAGAGGTAGATATGTATACTGTGTGTACAGGAAGGCATATGTGAGTATATGTGTGTGCATGTATAGGTGTATCTGTAGGCCTATGTATATACATGTTTGTGTGTGCTGGTTATATATTCATATATATAATAAAGCACACAGGATGCACAGTTATGGGTACTTCCTAGACATAAACAAACACCTCACAGGATTGGTTTACTGGGTTTGAAGGCTTAGGACCATAGTCTTGGGGGACAACTCAGTCAATTGACATAATATAGTTTATAAAGCTTATGTTCTACAACCTAGTTTGGTGAGTAGCATTTGGGGTCTTAAAAGTTTGTGAGCGGCCATCTAAGATACAACTATTGGTCTCTACTAGTGTGGAGCAAAAGATAAAGAAGGAAACCGAAGATTCAAAGACGAAACTACAAGACTGATAGCCCACGTGAACCACGTCCTCATCTATCCTGACACCAAAAGAACTAGATGGTGCCTGGTTACCACTACCTATCATTCTGACCAGAGACACAACAGATGGTCCTAGATAGAATGGGAGAAAAATGTAGAACAAAACTCAAAATCTTAAAAAAGTCCAGACTTACTGGACTGGTAGAGACTAGAGGAACGCTCAAGACTGTCGCCCTGAGATACCCTTTAAACCTGGAACCAAAACCACTCCTGGAGGTCACCTTTCAGCTAGGTAACAGATTCCATCATAAAATAAACAATATCATTAGTGAGTACTGAACTCCTTAAAAAAATAGTTTATATGAGACCAAATGATCAACCTTTACCCTAAAGTAAAGATGAGAAGGTAAGGGGCGTGGGGTGGCAGGGAAGCTAGATTAATGGAAATGGAATAACGAGAGCAGAAAGAATGAGAACGTTGACAACATTGTGAAAAACATAACCAAAGTCACTGAACAATATGTATAGAAATTGTTAAATGGGAACCTAATTTGCTGTGTAAACTTTAACCAAAAACACAATAAAATATTATTTAAAAAAGAATTCAATAAAAGAGCTATAGCTGAATGATAGGAATAATACAACTATCTGCTGAAGTTGTAGTAGAGATGACAAAGTCCAATAAATTTAGCTATTCATTTATTGGTATTCATTCAACAAATAGTTACTGAGCATCATCTACTATAGACTACTACTACAGGGAATCAGCAATGAACAAAACAATAAACTCTGGATTTTTAAAAATGAAGCATGATTTCTTTTTACTTTAGGACTGAGTTCTACTTAAAGATACCAAATGTTTTCTTTTCACATAATCCTTATTTCAAAAATTCTTATGTATAAATTCACAAGCAAGAGCTCTGCAGAAAGGCACAATAAAAACTATAAATCAAAGAAACCAAACCCGTTGCCGTCGAGTCGATTCCAACCTATAGTGAACCTGTAGTGCTCACCATTAACTGGTAGATTTTCTGCTAGACTGTTAAGCTCCTTTTCTGTGAGTTGGATTCCCATGTTTTCTAGAACAGTATTCATTTTACTTCTTCTAACTTTCCCTCCTTAGGAAAGATACCAAAAAAAAAAAAAGAAAAATATTTGAAATATGAGAAATATATTAAATATTAGAAATACATTAATGCTATATCTTATTATATTAAAATGGCTTACTATTCGAATGAAAAATCAAGAAGGGAAAATATCATCCATTTCTCAGTGCTACTATCACTGCTTTCAAACATGGTAACAAAACTGTAGTTTAACATTATATTAAAGAACCTTAAATTTTACCTTGGAGAAACTATACCCAGGAAATAATGAAGAGTTTTGCAAGTGAAGCTAAAGACAATTAATTGAAGGCATAGTAGAGAAAGATTTTAAGAAAATTCTTAGTTGCCAGAAAACTAGAACTGGTTTCTCTTTGAAATTACCTTATATCTGGTTTACCCATGCTGTGAAAATCGTTTGAGTATAGATTATTTTTGCGATTGTTTTAAAGTAGAAATCCATTTGCATTAGTAAAGAGGAATACACATTTATCTCTATAAACTACCTAAGATGATATAAAAGAGGGCTTTAGCTAAAAATGTCCTAAAGTTGAAGCATGAGTTGGGGCTGAGAATAAACAGAGAGGATAATTTAATGTAAAAAATCATAAAACAGGAGGCCTAGAGACTATAAAAGATAAATAAGATACCCCCATGGAATAGACATGGGAAACAGAATTATAGACAGACTGGCAAATCAAGCTTCTGGGTATCAGTGCCCCATTTTTAAGCTGATAAAAACCTCTCGGGAAGTTATTATAAAATGGGCAGCATTGTGGACAACTTCCACATTAAATTCTTTAAGAAACATCAGTTGACACTCTTCCAAAAAGCCTAGGAACACCAGGAGGCATTCCTTGTGTGGCAGGAGGTATCAAGTGGCAGGGCCTCTAACTCTTTCCTTAATTCTCCCAACTCCCTTCCTTTTTTCTGGACTAAGGACTAGGGAAAAGGGGGGAAACGAAAGCATTTTAGCCACAAGATTGTGCCTTTGTCTACATTTTTTACCTGGACTTAGTAAAAATATGTTCTATTTAGAAGAACCAGTTGCTGTTGAGTCGATTCCGACTCATGGCGACCCACGTGTGTCAGAGTGGAACTGTGCTCCATAGAATTTTTAATAACTGTGACCTTTTGGAAGCAAATTGCTAGGACTTTCTTCTGAGGCACCTCTGGGTCGGTTTGAACCACCAATCTTTAGGTTAGTGGTGTTTACTTGTTTGCACTACCCAGGGACTCCTAGAGGAACCATAATGAGTGTTAATTAATAAATTTATTTCTATTTGTAATCAATGACCAATCTTTCTGGCAATAAACATGAATTATTTTTTTGTTGTCTTTGCTTGTTTAGCCAATTCTCAGAATCATTACCTATCATTCTCTTCACTTTTTGTGGTATCTACCCAGATTTCAGGCGCCCTGGTGGTGCAATGATTAACGCTCGGCCGCTAATGGAAAGGTGGGCAGTTTGAATCTCTCTGTGGGAGAAAAGACCTGTCGATCTGCCCCAGTAAAGATTACAGCCTAGGAAGCCTTATGGGGCAGTTCTACTCTGTCCTACAGGGTTACTATGAGTTAGAATTGACTCAACAGCACAAAGCAATAACACCTAAATTTCAAATTATACTTTGGGGATTTAAGTTTTGAAAAACATATGAAATTGTGGGATCTCCTGTAAAGATTTTTTTTAAAAAGGACATTTATATAATGTTACATTTCTAATAAAAGATGCTAAATTCAAAATCAATTCATAGGAAGGGTGGCTTGATTTAAAAATCTGATAATATAAATTCACATCTAAAATCCCAAATTGCTTGTTGCTCACCTTTGAAAGACTTCACACCATCCAGCAATCTATTTTTATAGGTCTTTCCAGCAGCTACAATGCAAAGCACACTTATGTCACACAAAATATGATGTAGATGTTCATAAAGATGGTATATATACTCCATAATCTCAGGAAGAATTATTATTTACTGTCTTCCTATCTCATCCTCCAGTTTAAAGAAAAATCAAAAGAGGACATGTGAACTATTTCAACGTGACAAATTATGAAATTTTTAACACCTGAGACAATTGTTAATGGGCTCCCCCCGTGGTGATAATTCTTCGTTTCTTCTTTAACCTATTCTATCCAATCCTTCTAAAGTCTCTCACCCATCGTTTTCTTTCATTTTCTTTCTTAGGATAGCTTTATCATTGGTTAGAGGAGATGACATTAAAACAATCCCTTAGCCCTGTGGCCTGATTTAAAAAGAACAAAAGGGTATCTATATAACATAAAACTTACTTTTCTGTTTTAAGTATTTTTTTTAAAATGCTGAACAGTTTAAAAACTTCCCCATAGTGTCATAAAACAACTCTCACAAAGTCAACAGAGTCATTTATATGGCTTACCATCAACTGGCAGCGTTTGTAGCAACTTCACTTGTTCTTTGTCTGTTAGCTCAATCCCCATGTTCCTCAGAATATCCTGTGTATATCGCACATCAATCTTTTCTCCTTTGAAAAAATGGAAATGCTACCGTTCAAGAATTTTTGTAGAATACTTATTTCAAATAACAAACTAATAATATCTTAAGTTTCTTCTTAATTTGAGGAAATTCAAAGACATATTAAGAGGTATACATCTGTATAGAATCAAAGTGGGATCATGTGTCAAAATTATTTCTTTAAATATTCTGAAAAGTATGATTTTATAACCTGAAGACAGGTTAAAGTAGAGGTGAATATATTTTATCTAAATAACTGTCTGGCTAATTAGGGTATAAAATCAATATATTTATACATTTTATCAGAGAGTACTATGTATTTTAAACTTTTTTTCTGAATTACATACTTTGCTTTTCATACTGACAATAAAAAGCTTTATGTTATTCTACTTGATCTATTCTGATTTAGGAGTTGATAATGTTGAAGTGAATGATACTATTAGTAAAAAACTCCAGAAAGCTTACATGTTTTTAGTAAGTTACAGACATTTAATTACTATATATAAAGGCAAACTGTAGGATATTAGAAGCAAGTGTTTTATTAGAAAAGGTTAAAGCTAAAAATTTATAAATCAGGAAGAGAATTCTAGGAAAATATTATTTTAAAATATACTACTGCATACAGCCTGGAGTCTTGGTTTTATAGTAACTTCACTCACCTGTAAAAGCTTTTAATCCATCCAACAACGTTTTCATTGCAACATTCCAATTTTCTGTCATAAGAAAGGCAAATAATAAAAGAAATAGACTATGAGATTAAGAAATAATGTGAAACAGGAAAAATTCTAACAACATTTACATACCACAGGATGTTCCCTATTTTTATCTTCTTCATGAAAATGAATCAGTGAAGAAGAAAAAGATGATTATGAAAAAGATAATTTCCTAAGAAATGATTTTTTATTTCTATGAGAAATCAAATCTACAATGGTCACGGGATAAGACTGAAAAATCACCTCTTTTCAAGGTCTACTTTTTAGCTCTTAGGCTTTGCAGAACATTCTATTATTTTAATCAGGCCACCAGAACAGGATTTAAATCTGACATGTACTATTCAGTAACATTTCCATTTGGATTTATATAGTGAGTTCTCACTCAGTAGTTCCCTGTTATTTTAATAGACCCAGACAGATTTATGTACTCCTTTTTGGCTTACACAATAAATTATTAATTACTTTGAAGACAATTCCTTCACTGGGGATTTTTTTTATGATTATGTAGACACAGACAGATTTTTATACAATAAAGTTATTTTCAGTTTATATATTTTTTGGAAAATTTTATTGAGATAATTGTAGATTCACATGGAGCTGTAAGAAATAATAGAGATCTCTTGCACATTTTGGCCAGTTTCCCTCAATAAAACTATAATATCACAAAGAGGATAGTGACATTGATACACTGCACCAATCTTGCTCAGATTTCTCCATTTTTACTTGTTCTCATCTGTAGGTCTGTGTATGTATTAAGTGCTATACAATTTTATCACCTGCGTAGCTTATTTATCCACTGCCACAGTCAAGATCCCGAACACACTGACTCCACAACATCTTTTGTTGCCCTTTTATAACAACACCCCCTCCCTCCTGCATTCCTTCCTCCCCAGACCTCATCCCTAACTCCTGGCAACCACTAATCTGCACTCCATTCATAAAATTGCTTAACCACAATATGGGCCTGTCTACTCTTTGGCTGAAGGGTGAACCTCACGAGTGACTTCAGCACTGAGTCAAAAGGGTGTTTGGGAGCCATACTCTTGGGGTTTCTCTGGTCTCTGTCAGACCAGTATGTCTGGTCTCTTTTTGTGAGTTTGAATTTTGTTCTACATTTTTTCCAGCTCTGTCCGGGACCCTCTACTGTGATCCCTGTCAGAGCAGTCGGTGGCGGTAGCCAGGCACCATCTAGTTGTGCTGGACTCAGTTTGGTGGAGGCTATGGTCCATTAGTCCTTTGGACTAATCTTTCCCTTGTGTCTTTGGTTTTCTTCATTCTCTCTCGCTCCAAACGGGGTAGGACCAGTGGAACATCTTAGATGGCTGCTCACAAGCTTTTAAAACCCCTGACGCTACTCACCAAAGTAGGATGTAGAATATTTTCTTTATAAACTATGTTGCGCCAATTGAGCTAGATGTCCTGAGACCATGGTCCTCAGCCCTCAGCCCAGTAATTCAGTCCCTCAGGGAGTTTGGATGTGTCTATGAAGCTTCTGACTTTGCCTTGGTCAAGTTGTATTGACTTCCCCAGTATTGTGTACTGTCTTATCCTTCACCAAAGTTATCACTTATCTATTGTCTATTTAGTGCTTTTCCCTCCCTGCCCCTCCCCTCCCTTGTAAACATCAGAGATTGTTTCTTTCTGTGTGGAAACATTTTCATGAGTTTTATAACAGTGGTCTCATACAGTATTTGTCCTTTTGTGATTGACTTATTTCCCTCAGCATAATGCCTTCCAAATTCCTCCATGTTGTGAGATGTTTTGTAGATTCATCATTGTTCTTTGTAGCTGCATAGTATTCCATTGTGTGTATGCACCATAGTTTGTTTAGCCATTCAACTCTTGATGGGAATTTAGGTTGTTTCCATCTTTTTGCTATTGTGAATAATGCTGCAATGAACATAGTAGTGCAAATATCTATTTGTGTGACAGCTCTTAGATTTCTCTTTTTCTAGCATTTTTGTCAGCACTTAGTGTTGTGACGATTTTTAATTTTAGCCATTCTGATAGCTGTGTAACCCATTGCCGTCGAGTCTACTCCAATTCATAGCTACCCTTTAGGACAGGGTAGAACCGTCCCATAGGGTTTCCAAGGCTGTAAATTTTTATGGAAGCAGACTGCCACATCTTTCTCCTGCGGAGTGGCTGGTGGGTTCGAACCGCTGACTTTTCGGTTAGCAGCCGAGTGCTTAACCACTGCGCAAACAGGGCTCCTCGATAGATGTGTAGTGATAGCTTATTGTGATTTTAGTTGGCATTTCCCTGAGGCTAATGATGTTGAGCGTCTTTCATGTGTTGGTCATCTGTATATCCTCTTAGGTGAAATGTCCCTTCATGTCTCTTGCCCATTTTCTAATTGTACTGTTTGTATTTTATACTGTTGAGTTTTGAGTGTTCTTTTTGTATCGTAGATACTAGTCTTCTGTTGGATACGTGGTTTGCAAATATTTTCTTCCAGTCTGCAGTTTGTATTTTTATCCTCTTCTCACAAAGCAAAAGATGTTAATTTTGATGAGGTTCAATTTATCAGTTTTTCCTTTTCTAGCTCATAATTTTAGTGTAATATGTTTTTGAAATTAATTTGTTTGTGATGAAGTAACATAAGCATAATTTACATAAATCAAATGGTACCAATGTGTATACAGTAAAAAACATTTTTCCCTTGAAAACATATCCCTAATCAAGTAGTTCTCTTTCCAGTAGGCAACTACCATTGCTATTGTCTTGTGTACCTTTTTAGAGATATCCTAAGCATATGCATGTATTTAAATATAGAGCTGACTGGTTCTTTTGAAGGCTATATATAGTTCATTAAATAAATGCTTTGTAATTATGAAATCAATTTTAAAATGCATTAAAATCAATATAAATTATTTTCCCCATATTTTCAGATACATTATATTTTAAGATGTTGTATATTATTTGCTCAAAATATTCACTTCCCTGCTCTACAAGTCCCTTCTTATAAGAGGACAATACTTGTGCTTCCAATGATATCATGTAGGTTGTTTTGGCCAATAGAATGTTTGTGTCTCTTCTGAGCTGAAACTTTAAGAACTACTCCATGGTTCCACCATGTCACTTCTTTCTCTGTCAAAAAAGCAGCATGTCCCAGATAGGAATGCTCCTTCGGCCCATAACCCAAAGTGGAAAGAACACAGAGCAGACGTACAGCCAATCTGCAGCTAGTATTTAACTTTGAGTGACACACAATAAAAACATTTTTTTTTTATCATAAGCCACAGCGATTTGTGGTGGTTTGTTATTGTAGCATGACTAGCCCTAGCTATCACAATGCAGTGCTGCCTTAACAACAACAACACCTATGATATGTGGCATTATCTCTGGGGCTAGGTCATGGGTGGTGAAGAAATTGTTAATGAAGCCTGGAAAGAAGCTAACCCATATTTTATATTTCCTATAAATGGAAGCATACAAGATGTGACTTTTTGTGCCTGGCTTCTTTTATTTACCATGTTTCTGAAGTTCATCCACTTTGTAGCATTTATCAGTACTTCACTTCTTTTTATGACTAAATAATATTTCATCATATGTGTCTACCATATTTGTTTATTAATTCATCTGTTGATGAACATTTTGGTAGTTTCTAACTTTCGGCTATTTTGAATAGTTCTACTATGAACATTATTGTACAAGGATTTGTTTAAATATCGGTTTTCAATTCTTTTGGGTATATACTTAGAAGTGGAGTTTCTGGGGCCTATGTTAATTCTATTTAAAATTTTTTGAGAATGACCAAACTATTTTACCACAGTGGCTGTACCATATTCCATAAAGTTTTATATATTTTTAAATATGTTTTCCACATCTCTTTCAAGCTTTATTTTTTGAAACCTTATAGTTTTTGATGCTATTGTAAATTGGATCTTTTAAAATTTTTCATTTTATAACTGTTGGTGGTATACAGAAATGATTTTTAAAATTTTGGATCCAGCAATCTTACTATGCTTTTTTGTCAATTATAGTAATTTCTCTGTAGAATTCTGGGACCATCTAAGGAAAATAATAGTTTCATTTTTTCTTTCCAATTCTCAGTTTCATTTTTTACTATCCTCATCATGCAGGATGAAGAAAACTAATGAAAACCTACAGTAGTAAGGAATAAACACAGCTGTTATTATTTGCAGAGGACAGGACTCTGTACGTAGAAAATTCAAAAGACTCTCCAGACAAATTATTAGAACTAGTAACAGAGTAAGCAAGGTAATTGTGTATAAAGTCAGCATAAAAATCGAATTCACTTCTATGCACTGGCAAGATTAAAAAATGACTTTAAAAAGATGTCATTTATAATTCTAACAAATCTGTAAGATTCCTAGAAATAATGCTCACTAAAGTTGTGTAAAGGAGCCCTGGTGTTTCAGTGGTTAAGCCCTCGGCTACTAACTGAAAGGTCAAAGGTTGGCGGTTAGAACCACTAGCCACTTCGCGGGAGGAAGATGCGGCAGTCTACTCCTTTAAAGATTACAGCCTTGGAAACCCTATGGGGCAGTTCTACTCTGTCCTATATGGTTGCTGTGAGTTGGAATTGACTTGACGGCAATGGGTTTCTTTTTTTAAAGTTGTGTAAGACCTGCATGCCAAAAGTGATAAAACTTACAAAAAGATATTTTTAAAAGATCTAAATAGATGGAAAGATTTACCATGTACACTGATAGGAAGATCTATAAGGGTAAAGGTATCAATTCTTTCCAAATTGTTCTATAGAATCAATGTAATTCCAGCAAAATCCAAACTGGGTGTTTTGTGAATACTGACAAATTGATTTTAAAATTCATATAGAAGAAGAAGTGGTCAAGAATAACCAAGACACAATTGAAGCAAAGGAATAACATGATGGTACTTTCCCTAACAGATATCAAGATTTATATAAAGCCATGATAATTACTATAGGGTGTATCAGCACAGAGATAGATAAAATGATCAGTGGAATAGAATACAGAGACCAAAAAAATAGGCCTATGCATATATGGAACTTCGATATACGACAGTGTTTGCATTGAATATCAATGAATATCAGTTGCTGTTGTTAGGTGCCATTGAGGCGGTTCTGAAGCAAAGGTACATACATACGTACACCACCAGGGTTTCCATGGTGCATACATAGATACTACTCAATGCTTACGTACATACATACATAAATGGTGCTGGGACAATTACAGAAACCTTGGTGGCTTAGTGGTTAAGTGCTACAGCTGCTAATGAAAAGGTCAGCAGTTCGAATCCACCAGACACCCCTTGGAAACCCTATGGGGTAGTTCTACTCTGTCCTATAGGGCTGTTAGGAGTCGGAATCGACTCAACGGCAATGGGTTTGGTTTTCTCGGTTTGTTATCCATGTGGAGAAACAATACACAAAATTGATTCCAGATATAGTGAGGAATTAAAAACTTAAAGCAGAATTTTAAAACTTTTGGAAGAAAATATGAAAAAATATTTTCTTACCTTGATAGGAGAGGCATTTAAAAACTATATTAAAAAAGAATAAATCATGGAGAAAAATATTGATAGAGGAGATATTAATAAGCATTTTTATTCATCAGCAAACACCATAAATATAAAACTACAAACTGAAATAATATATTTGTAACACATAGAACAGATAAAAGATGATCATCCAAAATATGAAGAACTGCTATAATAAGAAAATGACACATAATGCCCACTCTCCAGGGGCAAAAATTACGAATATTCACTCAAGAGGAAACCTATATCATCAATAAATGTTTTGTTTGAAAATATTTTTATAATTTGTACAATCTCATCAATAATTAATATTCCAATAAGATAACATTTTATACTCACTTGATTGGGGTTAGATTTGGCAAAACACACCTACACACACCTATACACACTTGTTGTAAAAGAGATAGCTCCACCAAACCAAACACCAAACTCGTTGCCGTATAGTCGATTCTGACTCATAGCGATCCTGTAGGACAGGGTAGAAGTGCCCCATAGTGTTTCCAAAGAGTGCCTGGTGGATTGAAACTGTCGACCTTTTGGTTAGCAGATGTAGCTCTTAAGCACTCCGCCACCGGGGTTTCCAGGAACACTTAAATAGTGCTGATAGAAATATGAATTGCAATTTGGAATTATCTTTGTAAAATTGATTACTGGCCTACCTATAACACAGAAATTCCAGTAATATGCACTCCTAGCTAGGAGCTTGTGGCACACCATGATCATATAGTGGTTGGTACTCAACGTTGTGGCTCCAGCAACGTCTGTTCAAATCCAAGTCATGGCAGTGTCTGGTGTCTACCATGGCTGAACCTGGTGTATCTTTGGAGCCCTGGTTGCCTAGTGGTTAGGAGCTCAGCTGCTAACCAAAAAGTCAGCAGTTTGAATTCACCAGCTGTTCCTTGGGAACTCTACGAGGCAGTCCTACTCTGTCCTATAAAGTCACTATGAGTTGGAATTAACGCGACAGCAATGGGGTTTTTTGGAATTATATATACTCTAGAGATAGTCTTTGACATGTGCACCAGGAGGCATGTACAAGATTGTTTTTGACAGGACTGTAATAATTAAAACTGGAAACTATTTAACTATCAATTGATGGTAAAAAGTATAAATAAATTGTGGTATACTCACATAACAGAATATTATTTAGCAATGAAAAGGTATTACTATGACCGCATGTAACAACATAGATGGACCTTAGAAACTTAATATTGAGAAAATAACTCATTCCAGAAAACCTATAACATACTGTAAGATAATATTTTTATAAACCTCAGAACACAAGAAATCTATTAAAAGTATTGTTTAGCAACAGATATTGGTAAGGATGCAGAGAAATTGGAAGTATCATCCATTGCTGGTGGTACAACCACTGTGGAAAACAGTTTTGCAGTTCCTCAAAAAGTTAAACATAGAAATACCATCTGATCCAGCAATACCACCCCTAGGTATATACCCAAAAGAACTGAAAACAGGAACACAAACTGATACTTGTACACAAGTGTTCACTGGAACACTATTCACAACAGCCAAAAGATGAAAAAACAACCTAAATGTCCATCAATAAATGAATGGCTAAACAAAATGTGGTGCATACCCAAACTCATTGCTGTCAAGTCGATTCCAACTCATAGCAACCCTACAAGACAAAGTAGAACTGCCCCCATAGGGTTTCCAAGGAGTGCCTGGTGGATTCAAACTGCCAACCTTTTGGTTAGCAGCCATAGCTCTTAACCACTACACCACCAGGGTTTCCATGGTGCATACGTACATACTACTACGCTACCAGGGTTTCCATGGTGCATACATACATACATACTACTATGCCACCAGTGTTTCCATGGTGCATACATACATACAATAGAATATTACTTAGCCATAAAGAGAGATGGTGTCCTGATACATGCTACAACACAGATGAACCTTGAGAACATTATGCTGAGTGAAATAAGCCAGACACAAAAGGACAAATAATGTATGATTACACTTATATGAAATATCTAGAATAGGCAAAGGTATAGAAATCAAAGTTTATTTGTGGTTAACAGGGGCAGTGGGGGTGAGGGGAAAAGGAGGACTCAATGCTTAGGGTATGCTGAGTTTTGGTTAAGAATGATGGTACAATTTGAGAACCGACAAGGGTGATGACGGTTGAGCAACCTGATGAACATAATTAATGTCACTGAACTGTACATGTGAAGATTGTTGAAACAGCAAATGTTGCATTACATATATAGTAACCATAATAAAAAATTAAATTAAAAAAGTATTGTTTAGGCATACATATACAGTGAAACCTATGAGTGCCAACACTCGAGGTGACTGCCTTGTTTTTTCTGGGTCTCATAAGTTTTCTGCCTTTGACAGAGTGCAGTCTTACCACTCTTCTATCGCTCATTTTAGTGGAAAATAGTTGAGTTTCCTTTCTCTGACGGATTTCCAACTTACACAGGTTCTGGTTTTCATAGGTTTATATACATAAATAAATCAAGGGAATTATGAACACAAAATTTCAGGATACTGTTTGCCTTGCAAGGGGATGGCAGAGGGATGAGGTGGGGGGAGAATACACATGTGGATATAAGCTCTTGGTAATATGGTAATACCTAATACTTAGTATGGGTAGAGGAATCATGGTTGTTTATTAATAATTTATAACTTTTATATGTTCTATAAAACATGCTTTCATATTTCCAAATATTATATTTGAAAACATAATAAAGGCATAATACCACCAAAATAGTACACACTATGAAAATAAGTAGATACCTTTACAAATATATATTCTGCAAATAATACATATCCTAAACAAAGGTACAGTAATCAATGGCAACAATGATACCAAATGACATATAAGTTAAATGAGCAGGTTTTAGATAAGCACTTACATCAAATAATTTTTCTAGGTTAATACACCTTATTTTGTTCATTTGGGATGGAATTACTTTGCGATTCATTGTACTTCAGAGAGTCTCCAGCCTAGTAAGAGGCAGTTTAAGTCCAGGAATATAGCCCTTAGATAGTGGAGCTTGGCCCAGAAGAAGGGAATCCTGCAGCTTCATGGAGGAAACAGGCCATGCATGCTGCCTGAACCCTTCATTGCCCGTGGTCTGATGATAGTTGCCAGGGTCTGTTACGACTTCATGGTAAAGGGAATGTGTGCTAGACCTGTCATTTCTTCCTGTCCCTTTTCTGTTTTCTTGTCTAATGGAATTAACTGGATGAAGTGGGATTAGTAGTAGTGGAAATGATCACTTTAACAGAGTTGATGGCATTTAAATCATTCCTCAACTTTAGCATTCTCTCTTCTCACAAACTTTGGACATTATCAGGAAGGACCAGTTCCCGGAGAAGGACATCATGCTTGGTAAGGTAGAGGGTCAGTGAAAAAGAGGAAGACCATCAAGGAGGTGGATTGACACAGTGGCTGCAACAATGGGCTCAAACACAGCAACGACTGTGAGGATGGGACAGGACAGGGCAGCGTTTTGTTCTATTGTACATGGGGCCACTATGAGTAGGAACCAACTTGACTGCACCCAACAACAACTTTTCATTGTCATTTTGTATATTTTTTTCCTCTAAGTTTATTCTATTGTACTCTTCCTCTCTTCTGCCCTCTAATTTGTTTCTTCCTCCAACCTTTCCAGCTCTGGTAGTGGTCCTGAACAAACTGTCATCCCTTCTTAAGATTCAAGTGAATTCCATCATGAACTGATGAAAATGATAAAAGACAATATAGTCCTTAATTTCTTTCTGGGTTTTTAAATACATTTTTCTACTTGCCTACCTATGCCAAATAAACGTTTTAATGGCTTGATTAACTAATACTTGTGTAAAATCCCAGGTTTTCCTTAGCAGTTTAAAAATAAATGCTCACCATCAATGGGCAGGTTCCTTTTCAGATCATTAATTTCTTCTTCTGTGAGTTTCAATTCCTGGTTTCTCAAAATTAGGTCCAGTTTATTGACATCAACAATCCCTCCTTGGGAAAACAAGAGGAATATGGCAAAATCTGATGGATCCAAAGCTCTTAATTTCTGTATACTAAGGCTATCATTTTCAGCAAGGAGATTAAGGCCTCAGAGTACAAAGGAGCAAGAATGGAGTTAAGAACAGAACCTCTTTCCCTAGTTGGTTCTTGGTGACAGGCTTACACAGCTTACATTCTCAAAGGGGTTGAGTCACTAATAATTTACAGCAACAGGAAAAATAATTTAACACTTATTACCAATAGGTGGGTTCATTTTTATTTGCCACACTAGTTGTGTCAACTCTGAACTAAACTCCCTGAATAATTTTCCTTTAGTTTTACTGTTCAGACAGACATAGACTCTGTTATTTTCTTTTCTGCCAAATAGGAGAAATTTTCTCAAGAAGGAAAAATTAAAAAACAAAAATCCAATGTGAAGATATTTTGCTAACATCTATGTAGGAAGGTAAGAATGGTATCAATATTTAAATAGGTTGGCAAGATTCACAATTTAATATTTAGGAAATAGTACATGTGTCTCGGATTCATCTGGTTTTTCATTATGCTTTTAACTTACCCTTAAGAGGCTTCAAATCACCCAGTAATCTATTCTTGTAGACTTTTCCATTAGCTACAAGAAACATAAATTAGGTCACACATAAGTGATGAGGCGATTCACCAACGCAGCAAAAGTCATAATTTAAGGTAAAGAGGATCTGTAATTTTCCTTAGAAAATACCCAGCTTACATTCAAATTAAAAAAAATAATGTTGCCATTCAACGTAGCCCTTCTGTTCAATTGCTGGCACCTAAAGATGTTATTGCTGGCAATCGCCAATGCGTTAACACATAATGAATTTTAAATTCTTTTTCAGTTCTTTCCTTTTTCTTCTCTTTCACATAATTCCCTGTTCAACCTTTAGAATTCCCTCTCAGTGGAATCAAGGTTTACAAAAGATATTTCTTAACTTTAATGGAGGATTTGTGAATAAAGAAGCAGCTGAATCTCAAACTAAAAAATATTAACCAACAGAATTCCTTTCAATGTAAACCTGGATCATTCACTTTTTCTTTAAAATTGTTCATAATCATAGATTACATAAGTTTATACAAATGTATAAATTGGATCATATATACATAGCTGCGCTTTTTTTATTCTAGCCTTCTTTTCTTCTACTTTATTATTTTTATTTTTTTTGCTTGATTCTCTTCCTCCCCTTCTGTCCCTCCACTTTCAACGCTACCAACGTAGATACACTCCCCCAGGTAACTCATGTTAAGAAACTAGAATGTATTTTCACATTAGGTATACGTGTGCATGTATGTATGTATATATATACATATATATACACATGCATGCATATATTATTATATTAGCATGGGATAATTCATTCCAAATGATTTTTCTATGCTATTAAATTAGAATGTTTATAGAAGTTCTCACAAGCAAAACAAGAAATGTATACTTTTTACAAGCACATATTGTTATTTTAAATGCTTACCATTAGTTGGCAGATTTTTTACCATTTCCACACATTCCTTATCTGTGAATGTTATTCCCATTTTATCCAGAACATCTGCCACATCACTGGCATTAACCTCTCCTCCTTCAACATAATCAAAATGGTCAGAAATTGGTATACTGAAAAAGGTCTAATATCTCTATAAACATAAAAAATTACTGATGCCTATTTAGCTGCACCTACAACAGCAGCATGAGCAAAAAAAAAAAAAAAAAACTCTAAGAACTGTCCATCACTATCAATAATTATTTGAATTTCTTCCTTGCTCTTAGGAAAATAACAGACATAATGATGTAATTTATGTGATATAAATTAGGATACTGTAAGTATCTGTATGATCTAAATATTTTTCAGGACTCTTTTTTCTCTCCTAGTGTCTTGATAAGAGAATCTTCATGAAAATTTTGCCTTATCATTTGTTGTGCCAACTTAAATTCTGACTTTCAAAATGAGGAATAGTGACTATCATTGACAAATGTTCCAGAAACAAACAAATTTAGTGCTTAAATGTAGATATTCTAAATTACAATTTCAGGCATTTATATGAAGATACTCATCAATACAAAACAAAAGATATGGAATAAAAAAGGCAATGAAGGAATGGAGGGACTATATAATAATATAATTTAGTGTAAAGAATTAATACATTAGAGTTATAGTAACTTCTAATTAACCTGTAATAGTTTCCACTGCTTCCATCAATACATTGAGACCAACTTTCCCACTAGCTGTAAGAAAAAATCATAATTAAGATACAGAAAAATTATAAAATAAGAAAGCGGCTAAATTAAGAAATACATCCCATCCACGTTGTATTTGAATCAATCAAAAATTTATATGCAATGGATGACAAGAATTCACTCTATGGTAGCTAGAGGGTTGGCCCAAGAAAATTTCCTCTAGTCTAAAAAAAAAAAACAAAACCCATTGTCAAGTCAATTCCCTAGTGACCCTATATGATAGGGCAGAACTGTCCTATAGGGTTTCCAAGGCTGTAATCTTTACAGAAGCAGACTGCCACACCTTTCTCTTGCAGAGCTGGTGGGTTTGAACTGCCAACCTTCTGGTTAGCACCCAAGCACTTAACCACTGTGCCACCAAGATTACTTTCTCTAGTCTTAGGTTGTACAAATGTTAGAATGGGCCAGTGGTGTTGGTTAGATTCTCAGGCAGCCCTTACATCTGGTACAAACACAAAGTCTTCCCAGCACTTATGTTGAGACACTTGATTTTTCACTTTTACTATCTTTTCTTTAGTTATTTCAGCTACTAACATGGAGTGGCCAGTAATATGTACAGGTATTTCTAATTTTTGGTTACCAACATATCTTTAAAGTTTGGATAAATATTTTTACCTATCTTTGCTCCAAAAGACTTCTTTAAAATTTTAAAAAGCAAAGTTGTCACTTTGATGACTAAGGTGTACCCAACCCAAGTTATGGTCTTTTCAATAGCCTCATATGCATGAGAAAGCTGTACAATGAAAAAGGAAGACAGAAGAATTGATGTATTCCAATTATGGTGTTAACAAAGAATATTGAATATACTGTGGACTGCCAGAAGAATAGAAAAATCAGTCTTTGAAGAAATACAACCAGAATGCTCCTTAGAAGGAAGGATGGTGAGATTTCAGCTCGCTTACTTTGGACATGTCATCAAGAAAGACCAATCGCTAGAACAGGACATCATGTTTGGTAAAGTAGAGGGTCAGTGAAAATGAGAGAAACACTCAGTGAGATGGATTGACACAATAGCTGCTACAACGGACTCAAACATAGCAACGACTATGAAGATGGTGCAGTACTGGGTAACATTTTGTTCCGTTACACATAAAGTCACCATGAGTCAGAGCTGACTCCATGGCAGCTAACAGTAAGAACAACAACAATCTTTGATGAAAAGAAGCTATTAGTTAAAGCTGGAGAGTTATGAAAACACAGAAGTGTTCCAATATCAGGAAGGATTGATCAACCCCATCAGGGCCAGCTACATCATTAACAAGGCCTAGCGCAAAATGATCAAGCCCTGGTGGCACAGTGGTTAAAGCACTCGGATACTAACCAAAAGGTTGGTGATTCGAACCTACCAGCCGCTCTGTGAGAGAAAGATGAGGCAGTCTGCTTCCGGAAAGACTTACAGCCTTGGAAACCCTATGGTGGTAGTTCTACTATGTCCTATAGGGTTGCTATGAGTCAGAATCGACTCAACAGCAGTGGGTTTGGTTTGGTTTGGTTTAGTGCAAAATGAAAAACGGGGGGGGGGGAACCTTTTCTTTTCTTCTGTGATCTCTCTCTCACCCTGTCATGGTATTTTTAATTTGCTATTTGATGTTGAACTCTCTGGGGAACAGAATAATTTCAGCAACTGCAGACTCTCAAAAGAGCCGACTGGCTCCATCCCACACTACGGGGCCCACCAGCTTCAGTGTTCTCTGTCCTACCTGTTGCCAGACAGACACACCTGAAAGTCAAGTCAAGCATCTCTTCTTCATATGAGCCTATCACCAAACACAGGGTGAACGGGTGACCCCAAGAGTATTGCAATCTTCATGTAGGGCCACATTAAGTACCTGGATGGAGGCAGACAAGGTGCTTGACCCTATGAATGCACTTTGGTGCTGCTAGCCCAGAGCAAGGACAGCTTCTACCATGGCCTGCCACAAGATGCTGTCAGGTGTATGTACCCAACAACAACCCCTGACCCCTCGTACCATGCCCGGGGTCCTGCTGGGGGCAGAGGGCAGCAGCGCTTGCTAGATAGGGGCAGTGAAGAAGAGATCTGGGGCACCAGGGTGTATTGGCCAAGAACCCATTCTGGGCAGGCAAGATGAGGCAGGAACACACCTAAGCCGAGGCTCCAAGCCCGAGTAAGCTCTACTTCCTCATCGAACTTCAATTACAAAATACAAATTTAAAGATAAAATTATGAAGAATTGCAAGGCTACAAGGAGGCCTGGTGGCACAGTGGTTAAGTACTAGGCTGCTAACCAAAAAAGGTCAGTGGTTTAAACCCACCAGCTGCTCCGTGGGAGAAAATGTGGCAGTCTGTTTCTGTAAGGATGACAGCCTTGGAAGCACTATGAGGCAGTTCTACTCTGGACTATAGTGTTACTATGAAGCAGAACCAACTCAGTGGCAATCGGTTGGGTGAAAAATGACAACCACATGCCTTAAATTCCAAGCATGGCACAATTCTGACCTTCTAACCCTGTCCAGCTGCACTGGTTGCACACCATGAAGATGGCCCTGACTCATATTATTATACCCTGAAAAAAGAAAGAAAGAAGGTCCAAGGGGCAGTACAAAGTAAATGATTATTCAAAAGACTCAAGATGAGGCCTAACTGCACAAACTATAATCCTGTTCCTTAGGGGTTCAATAAATTGCTAGATGATCCTTTTATGTATAATGAGAAGATAATGAGTCACAATAAATAAATTGTAATGAATAGTAAAGACGTAGCCAGTGACTAGGACTTGATGGACATGAGACTGAATAGGGTGGTGACAGAGAGTTGAGATTGTGCAAGGGGAAAAAAGAAGCCTAAGACTAAATCTGTATTCTGTATATGAACCAGTTATCCCACTGTGGAATTTTAACAATTATGGTAGGAAACTATGAAATCAGTTTTAAACATGGTGAGAGTAAGAAGGTATAACAGGAGTTTTAGATACATTAATTTAGGGAAGTACTCTAAGCAGGAGATATAAAAATCTTCAGCATAGAGATAATAGCTGAAAATAGTTCCCTGATTAAATGTGTAAAGCTGAAATGAGTAATAGCCATTTCAGAACAGAACTGGTTGAGGAATAACTGTTTACGGAGGACCTTGCCAATATGGAGCCTCCTTCACTATTTTACTACAATTCCAAATTTTTCATTCTGCTACATGTCCATTTTCTAAATTTAGAGTGGTCTTGGTTACTTCTAAGCAATGCTAACAACACAGATTGGAAGTTGATGACTCTGGCTTTCTGAAAAAAGAGACATTCTATTCTTACAACTGAACTATTTTCTCACTTAAAAAAATTGACTCAGTGCTAAAGACAGCTAACTGTCCACCAATATTCCTATTTTCCTCCTATAATGTAAAATTGTAGGTAGTCGTGGATGCCCAGACAGAATACATTTCCAACCTCCCCTGTTTGTATTTAGGGGTAGCCATGTGACTAGTCCTCAAAAAAGGAATGGTTGTAGAAATGATGTGTGTCACATCACCTTCCTACTTTGCACTCTCTTCTCTATACCATCCGCTGGATACAAGCAATGAAAACCCTAAAGGGACTCCCAGGCAAAAACCTGGATCTGTATATCACTCAATGAAGAAGAGCCACTGCCCACCAACAAAACATACTCTCACTTTGAACTTTTATGGGAGAGGAAATAAACTTCTATTGTGTTTAATCATTATATATTTTGGGGTGTATTTTTTTTAAATAGAAGTTTAGATTACCCTAAACAGTACTTTAGGACTGGCTTCTTCCCTTATCTTTGCAAAATGCTTTTTTAGAAAACAAAAAACATCACCAGTTAATTAGTATCCTCTGATACAAGTCCAACAATACAAATTCCTCTCTAAGACCCATTGTTATCTACAATGCTCACCACTAAGTGGCAGATTTTCTGTCAGACCTTCACGTTCCTTTTCTGTGAGTTCAACCCCCAGGTTTTCCAGAACAGTGTCTAGGTTTTTGACTTTAACCATTCCTCCTTAGGAAAGAAACAGAAAATAATCATTATAAAAAATTAATTATTTCAAAATATTAATATATTCAGGCATAGATTTTAATCTTATATACATTTTAATATGATAAAAATAAAGAGAAATATACCACTTATTTGTATTAGCAAATAGGTTAGCTCAGCAAATCACCTTAAATGACGTCAAGAATAACTTAGATAAAAATGTTCTAAATCGGAAGTATTACTTACAAGTTGTGGTTGTATTAAGTAACAATTATCTATCAAAAGAGGGAGCCAAAAGTATAGGCAGTGCTATCCCCATGGGGCATATGGGGAGAATGCCGTGTAGGTTTGTCCCAAAAACAAAGGTAAGAGAACATCTGAGAGTAATAGTTCAAGCCTTAGATCATCAATGTTCCACTCTATTGCTACATCTAAGAAAGTGGATTAAAAACTATACAAACTGCTCAAAGAGGGAAGAGTATCATAGACAACACATTCACCACAAAATTCTGCAAAGAATGTTGCTAACTGCCATTATTTCAAGGGTCTGGAATGTCAAGAGGCATATTGCTATCTGCAATAGACTCCTCTCACTAAATATTAAGCAGCAAAACCAGTAACCCTTCTTCTCTCCTCCCTACTTTCTTATCTTCTATTGATTAACGGTTGATTGAAGAAGGAAGAAGCAAAAGAGCAAGCCACAGCTTTTTTTTCTGCATTAAAAAAAAAATTAATTGTCCTTCAAAAAAGAACATGTTATAGAAAATAACTTAAAGAAACTTGATTCATGAAAGAAAATTATATTAAAGATAAGTCCAAAATTCTTTCTTTAATAAGCTGCTGTTGGGCAAATTCCCACAAAGAACTGGCTAATATTCTCTACATTATTTGCTGTATATAATCAAATTTAAAATCATTCTTTGAATGTGCTCTCTGCAAGGATATAACATGGGTAATTAATCAAAGCACCATGAAATGAATGCAATGAAATTAGACATCTAAATATAAGAATGTAGGCACAAGTCAAGGAACCCTGGTGGTGCAATGGCTAAGCATTCAGCTGCTAACCAAAAGGGCAGTGAACCCGCCAGCTGCTCCTTGGGAGAGAAGACCTGGTGATCTGCTCCTGTAATGATTACAGCCTAGGACACCCTGTGAGGCAGTTCTACTCTGTCCTATAGGATTGCTATGAGTTGGAATCGACTCAGTGGCACACAACAACAACCACAGACACAAGTCAAAATCTAGTGATACAAATGCAAAAGTTGATTTTTAGCAGACTTTTATGCCAATCAGGTTTATTACATACCTTTGATAGACTTCACACCATTCAACAATCTATTCTGATACACCTTTCCTGCATCTATGAGAAAAGGCACAATTTATATCAGAAGGAAAAGAATGTGGACAGTCACAAAGTTTGAGCAACTGGATAATTCCAGATATAGAGTTTCTTATGCTTTCCCTGGAAAATCTGTCCAGCCTTCCCATCAAATAAAAATCATTTTAAGAAAAGGAAGATTGTCTTAGTGACAAAAATCTATGCAGGGTTTGGTAACTGAGAAAACTACAAGGGACATTCTATTATGCAGAGACAATCGCTATCCCTTTGTCCCTGCTCTGTCTGAGTCCTCCCTTGCCTTCTTTTACTGCTCTCTCTCTCCTGTCAGTTTCCTTCCTTTCCCTTCATATCGTTTGAACCTCTCAGTAGCCTGAATGGGTAAGATGATTACATTTGTATCGGCTCTGATGGCAAGATTTATGGTTAAAGAGCTTGGTGATCCCAAGATTAAATCTATCTGACAGTGAACTTACTTCTCCCTAGTCATTTTCAACACTTCTTAGAAGAAAAAATTAAAGCAACAACACTTTAGAGTTGCTCACAACAACCCTAAAGACCAAGCTCCCTGGAAGGCCACAGTGGCACTTATCTGGCTTACCATCAATTGGCAGTGTTTCTAGCAGCTTCACATGATCCTTTTCTGTGAGCTCAATCCCCATGTTTCCCAGAACTTTCAGCAGATTACTGGCATCAACCTTTTTTCCTTTCAAAAGATAGGAATGTTAGTGTTTGACAGTTATTGGACCCATATAATAATTCCAAATAATCAAAAATTCATCGCCTGTGCTTTATCATCTTCAACGTGAAGTAGTGAACAGGTAGAATGAGACACATACTCAGAATTATGGGGGAACCACAAACGGATCTTTGTCCCTCAATTTCATAAAAGGGAGACTCTCTTAGTGATGGATTTAATTCAGCAGAGTAATATTTTTGCTTTCAAGATTGACCAGCAAATTAGAATAATATAGTTAATTTATAAATCTGGAAAGGAAAACTAAACATTGGAAGGCCATGTTCTAAATTATGAGATTTTTCTCTTCACAATGGCACCTAATATTTTGATTCTTATTAAAGCTTATTATTAAAGCTTGTTATTTGCTGTGTGTACCAAGATATGTGGGTATTAAATAATAGTGAAGCAAGTCATATTTTTGATTTATTAAATATATTTCCACCAAATTTCTTACCATGACACAAAATTTTAACTGTTGTGTTAAAGCTAAAAAAGGTAAAGTCCAACAAAAGATATTAACAGCAAGTATTTGATAAAAAAAGTAATATAAGAAAAAATTTGCCATTTGGATAAGTTGACAAACTCTTTAAAAAAAACACCCAGTTTTATAGTAATTTGCTACTCACCAGTAAAAGCTTTCATGGTATCCATCAACTTTTTCATGTCAACCTTCCCATTAACTATTAAGAAAAACATGTAAATCACATGGCACTGACACATTAAAAAGATGAAATGAAAAAATACATAAAGCAAAATTTATATACTCTACAATTTTATTCTATATTCATATTTTTCTTGACCAAGAAGCTCTAGATTATGGTTACTAAAACTTTGATTCAACCTATGGCAGTTAAGAAGAATTACAAAATAAAGTTACTTTTTTCCATGGGGCCTGCTTTATTGGTTACTATATGTTAGGACACTCTCTACTGTTAACATCGAGTACAAGGAACAGGATTTACAATTTGTATGTACTACATATGAATGTTTCTGTTTAGACTTATTTTTTTTCTCCTTATGTGAATCTTGGTAGTTCCCAACTTTTCTGACAGAGAGTTTCTTACTCCTTTGCTCTAAGTAAGTAAATGAATAACATCAGTGACTAGTCTGAGATATTTTACAAAGTAGAAGCTCAATATATGTATTTAAAATCAATTAAAAATACATTAAAAGAAAGCATATTACAGACATAAAATTAAATAAAATTGAGCATGCTCTACAATCTCAGATCTATTATCCTTTACTGAATGAAATACAACTAAGAAATGTTCTGTTATTCATTTGCAGAAAATACTCTTGATTTTTGCCTAATTGTAGATGGCAAATATTTAAACAGAAGCTTCATGTTACTGAGAAACTCTGATACTTGGATACCATAAAATGATGGAAAGAAGTTACCAATAATTTAACAGTGGCCAGAGACAAGTATCAATTGTCCCCACTGTTACTAAATCTAAGCTGGGAGGAATTATTCTTTCTCATTTTATCCTGGATCTAAATAACTGAGCAGGCTATTAATTTAAGACTTATTGAGATATAATTCACATATCATACAATTCACACATTTAGAGTATACAACTGCATGTATTTTAGTATGTGCACAGAACTGTGTAACCATCGCCACACTACGATTTTACATTTTCATCACTACAATAATCCTTATACCATTAGACTACAATCACTATACCTCTGCTCCACCTCAGCCCTAGACAATCACAAATCTACTTTCTGTTTCTATACATTTTCTGAATCTGAGCATTTCATATAAATGGGATCATACAATATGTGGTCTTTTGTGACAGGCTTCTTTCACTTAGCCTGTTCCTATCAATCCACTGCCCTTCAGCCCTAATTCAGCTTTAACTGTATTTCAGAGTTTGTTTCTAGCTCTTTAAGGGGGAGGCCTGAGAATACAACCCTTGGGTCATGGAGTCTGGCCTGAGAATTGGGATGTTACATGGCTTGATAAATAGGGGAGTATTCCACACTTTATAGTCTGGATGTCTGATGGCCCTAGACTCAGAGACAGTGAGTGAGCACTGTCATATGGCTATAAATGTGCCCTCATGTTAATCATCTCTCACCTCTGACACTACTCTTTTGTTTTCCTATTTTTCCCCATAACCTCCCCCCTGGTGGTGCAGTGGTTAAGTGTTTGGCTGCTAACCAAAAGGTATGCAGTTCAAATCCACCAGCTGCTCTTTGGAAACCCTATGGGGGCAGTTCTACTCTGTCCTATACGGTCGCTATGAGTCAGAATTGACTCGACAGCAATGGGTTTGGTTTTTTGGTTTTAACCTCTCTCCACATTGTTTTTCATGCTACTCTGCCCACAATTGCTTGTCTTTCCCCTATACTTTTCATAATCCAAAAATGGTCCTGCCACCTTTGCAGCACTCCTTTGGATCCAAAATTAAGGGAGTTGCTGACATATGTTACTAAAAAGGACAAGACAGAATATTACCCTACTTTCCTTCTGCATTCATTTCTAAGTTTTTATAAATGGCTCTATAATGCCAAATAAACTTTCTCAGAGGTTGAGGACACAGAAGCTCACATTCTCAGGTTGTCCTGAGCAGCTCAAACATTTAAATGCTCACCGTCCACAGGCAGCTTCTTTATCAAATCTTTTCTTTCCGTTCCTGTGAGTTTCATTCCCATGTTTTCCAAAACAGTGTCCAGTTTATTGACATCAACAATCCCTCCTTGGGAAAAAGAGAGGAACATCAGCAAAACTGAATAAGCATAAAATGTGACAAGAGCTACGAACTACTGTGCATGATGGAAGTCCGTTTCACCAGGAAGAATAAGGTCCAATGAGGTATGTTCAATTGTACAGAGACTATCAGTAATGAAGGTGGAATTAGAATTTCTTCCCTGGAGACAGTTTTTGGGAACCAGTTTATATAATTAGCTTTTCCAGGTTGTTGTAATACTGCTAGACCATTTACAAAAACAGAGAAAACTAAAGTCACATACTTCTGCTGATAGGAAAGTTTTATTTTTGTTTCCTGAATGAACTGATGGCTGTCTTTCCTCTGAGGACATTTAGCAAATAATTTCTAATAAATTCCTCTCACTTTTTAAATTATAAAATATTACAGGGATATAAAACTGTTGTGATGATGTCATTGGCACTTGTTTTTTCCAGTTTCAGGAATAAACATTATAGATACAATGAAAATATCCTCTGAATCTCTCCTTATCCCCAGGTGGAACCACTGTCTTAAATACAGTGTTGATAATTCCCATGCATGTTTTCCATACATACATGAAATTGTTTTCCATAATTTTAAAGTTTATGTAAATTATAGTATCATAATGTGAGTTTCCTCTTGCCACTCACGTTTTTCGTTCAATATTTTTCTTTTTTTTATATTTGTCCATGTTGAAACAGGAAGCTTTGCTTCATTCATTTTAACTATTGCTTATTATTCTAATGTTATACCGCCATGATGCATCCGTTCTCCCATAATGAACATTTAGATTGTTTCCAATTTTTCACCATTACAAACAAGACTGAAGATGTACACTCTTGTATATGTCTAGTTATGGGCAAGAGTGAGAGTCACGGGTATACATTCAGGAGTGGAGCTGCTGGAGTGGAATATGCACATCTTCAACTTCTCAAGATTTTGCCTAATTGTTTCTGAAAGTGTTTATATTACTACCAGCAGTACATGAGAGTTCCCATTTCTCCATATCCTTGTCAGCACTTGGCATTGTTCAACTTTTACAATTTTTGTGAATCTGATACGTGTGATGTGGTATTTCACTGTTGTTTTAACTTAAATTTCCCGATAACTAGTGAGGTGAAGTATCTTTCATAAATTGATTGGCCTCTCAGAGTTCTCTTCTTTCGTTGATCGTCTGTTCTTATATTTTGCCACTTCAAAACTGGTCGTTTAGCTTATCCTTATTGATCTGTGGAAGTGCTTCACGTATTCTGGAAACTACTTCTGGGTTGCTTTTATCTTCTCTATTTTATGGTTTACTTTTTTCACTTTTGTTTAGTGTATATTTTGCAATAGGGAAGTCTTTACATTTTATGTAGTATAATTTATGAGTTTTTTTTATGGATTCATTATTTATTCAGCATATATGTAATAGTAATCAATCATTGTTTCCCAAGAACTAGAGATATAGCAATGACTAGAAGAAAGTCCCTGTCTTGTGAAGCTTACATTCAGGGAAAGAGACAGTCAAAATACACATAAATAAGACTACTGGGAAGATGGCATTGTGAGCATATATCTAAGATACTGACCCTCCCATGTAAGCACCAAGAAAAGCCATTAAAAATATATAATTTCAGCTCTGTAAGAACTCTGAAAAGTAGGAGGAGGACTGCAGCAACTAACTGCACACTGAAGCAGGAAAAAGGCAACTTTTAATGGCAGGAAAACTTCTTTTTCTACTGCCTCTGCCCCTTCAGAGGAGTTTGTGTAAAATGTTTGGTAGAATTTGTCAGTGAAACAATTCAGTTCTGAAGTTTTCTTTGTTGGATGTTTTATTATATGTACATGACTACATATTATGTACTTGATATACATGATATACATATTGCACGACTATTCAGCTTATCTATTTCTTAAGTCAGATTTGATTGTATCTTTCAACGAATCTTTCCATTTCATCATATTCTTGTTCATAATTTTCTCTATTATCCTGGTACTAATCTTTTTGTTATTTTTTGGCTTGTGTGTTCCTGGATCATGCAAGAAACTAAATATGTCCTAGAAACCATGTGACATAGGCCCATAATCATAAATTTTCAAAGAAGACTTTTCCTTTCATCTACCTGTGCCAATAAGATATTTTTCTAGTTTACCATTTCACTAAGGGTGAAGCCATTCAAGAGTCCTGACTTCATGTGAGTTTTCACTGAAATCTCAAGGTTAAAGAACGGTAGAGGAGATTATTTGGTAAAATATATGTGAAAATGATCTTTGGGAAAAAAGCATTTTTATGGTTTTATGCATACACTAATATCGTGGTGTAGGACTCTAAATTTAGAGACTACGAAACAGAGAGATTTCAGATTCATCTACCTTTTATCATATTTCTCACTCACCTTTAAGGGCTTTCACACCATCCATCAACCTATTCTGATACACCTTTCCATCAGCTGTAATACAGACACAAATCAGGCCACACCAGTGAGAGATGAAGTAAGACAATATCAAAGCCTTAATGTCAGAAAGACAATCATCATAATTAACCCAGAAAAGGTCTAACTTACTTGCAAATAACAAAAGAAAAAAAAAAAAGTGAAGAAAGTTCTGAATGTGGCTCCCTGCCCCCTAAGGGAAGTCTGGTTGGTACCCTACTGTGCTGAAACACATGCCTCTTACTGCCCTTGGTCCTGTCTAATTTCTCCCTTCTAGTCTATCCCCACCCATTTTACTGTCGTATACCTCCCTGCTTAGTCTTGAGGATGCTGTTTGATTGGAATCAAAAGTAAGAACAGGCAATTCTCTGTTCTGATAGTGACTGAAGGGGCAGATGATTCTATAAATGAAATGACACAGTTGGGGCTACTTCTTATGGTAAAACTGAATAATTCCTTCTAAAATCCTTCCTTAAAAAACTATCAAATGGATGAGAAGGCAGAAAGGGACATGAGCTGGTTGAATGGACATGGGAAATCTGGAGTGGAAAGGAGGAGTGTGCTATCACAGTACGGGGAGTGCAACTAGGGTCACATAGCAGTGTGTGTATAAAGTTTTGTATGAGAAACTAACTTGAACTGTAAACTTTCATTTAAAGCACAATTTTAAAAAAAAGCATCAAATGGAGATAGTTATGGAAGCTCTCAATAAATAAGCACAATTCTAAGTTCCCTTAAGGAGCTAACATTTTTATTTGTAGTTAAAATAACTACATTGTTCTTTTAAGTGCTCACCATCAACTGGCAGATTTTTCTCTAGTTCCAACCATTCCTTATCTGTGAGGTTTATCCCAATTTTTTCCAGAATATTTTCTATATCACTTACATTAACTTCTCCTCCTTTAAAAGAAAGAAAGGTAGGTAGATGAAAAATTTGAATGTCACCTAAAAGCGCCAAAATATGAAGAAAACAAAATAATGTGTCTGCTCAGCAGCAGCATGAGACTTTTGTATCATCAGTCCTCATGGAAGCGGAATTGATGCCGTAGCCCTAAGTATGCAATATCTGTAATTATGGGTAAGGCAACACAAGCAAGATATAAGTGGTTCTTGGAACTTCCAATTTATTTGAGATATCACAGATAGTTGATCCGAATTCAGTATCTCTATATTCTCTTATCAGTGTTGTGTCTTTACTTTTACTTCATTACTTAAATATGCTAATCCAGGCAAGTTTATATCACTGGGCAGAGCAACTTCCAGCTGTGGATCCTCTTGCTTGAACCTCAGCTCTGGTTCTTGTAACCATATCATCAGCAAGGACAGCTGAGCAACTGAGAGGCACACAGAATATATGAATATTGTGTACCCTAAATTCAGGAAGTATGATCCTTTCACACTTACACCCTACACTAAGTTTCTTATCCCATCTTTTCCTTCTTGTTCTTGCTGTGTGTTTAAAATGACTTAAACTGTGGGCTTCCAACATTTTACCTTTATCTGTGAGCATTTCTGTTCTGTGAACACTTCGCTAGCTTGCCTAGTAGTGTACTTGAAGGCTAATATTGTAGCAAGCTAATTTCCTTTAACGATACCCAGATTATGGTTAATTTGAATTCATGCATACTGAAGTATGGTTTGGGGATACAAATCAGAGAATGAAGAGTTTCCTGTCAAGGCACTGCACTTGCTAAGTGTAGATTATCTAAAGTTAGAATGGTCCACGTAATTTATCACTCAAACAAGGACTACTCAAAGTAAAAGGTTTTAAAATAATTAATCTTAATTAATATACAACAGAGTTAAACCAAAATGGTCTAGAGAAAACTAGAATGTGTGGTCACCCTGTCTGTAATTAAACTTTTGTCAAGAGAGAGCAAATTTCTGTAAAAAGTCAGATAACAAATATTTTAGGCTTTGCCAGCGTTACCATTTCTGTCACAACTACTCAGTTCTTCTGTTTTAATGTTAAAGCAGCCATAAACAATAAATGAATGGGTGTGGCTGTGTTCCAATAAAACTTTATTTGCAAAAACAGGGAGCAGTTTTGGCCCAAGGGCTGTAAAAATTTGTATTTTTATATATTTCCTCAATAAAATAATAAAATGGCAGAATAAAATGCAGCAAAGCGATAGTTGGAAAAGAGCATTAAAATATAGTTTAGTATAAAAATTAGGAGTTTAGATTTAACTACTTCTTCACTAACCTGTAATCGCTGTCACTTCATCCATCAATTTATTGAGCTCAACTGTCCCATTAGCTATAAGAAAAGTCACAATAAGGTAACAACGCCAAAGGTTCACATACGAAGTAAATAAACCAACAATAAAGAGATTAATTTGGGAAATAAGAGCCCAGTCAAAGACCATTAGCTCCACTACTTTATCTGACTCAAGTATAAGAATATAAACCCTATTACTCCACTTTAGCTAAGGGAGGCAGTAAAGGGGAGTCTTCGTCCCTTGGAAAAGTAGAATCTTGTCCAAGGAAATTTATTTTCAATTTGACAAATTATTTTGAAATTTTTATTGAGATAATTATATGTTCACATACAATTGTATGAAATAATATAGAGAAATACCTTGTACATTTCACCAGTTCTCCCAATTGTAACGTCTTATATAACTATAGTACAATACCACAAATATGATATTTTCATTGATAAAACCCACAAATCTTATTCAGATTTCCCCAGATTTACTTGCACTCATTTGTGTGTCTGTGTGTATATTAAATTCACCATTATTTATTAATTGAATTTACCGATACTAATTTTATTACTTGTATAGTTTTGACACACTCAAAAAATCTTAATTGAAATAAGCCATTGCGATTTTTTGAGTTGCTACTGCAGCATAACTAGCTTTAGCTAAGTGACATAGAAATTGGAACCACAAATGCAGTACTGCTTTAAAAAGGGCAAACGGCTCCAGATAGAATTAGTTTAGAAATGGTTTAGTGAGGACATGGTTACTTATAAACTTCATCCACACTATTTTTCTTCTACTTTCTGACTACTACCTAGACAGACAAATGTCCTGGATTCTCTGTATTACTTAGCATCAATAAGCAAATGGGTTGACAACTTTGGATTTTTAAAAATGAAGTTTTTTTTTTTTTTTTTTTTTGTACTTTAGGACTGAGTTCCACTCAAAGATACCAAATATTTCCTTTTATATCAAATAATCTTTATTTCAAAAATTCTCATATGTAAATGCACAATCAAGAGCTCTGCAGAAAGGCACAGTAAATACTACAGTGCTCACCATTAACTAGTAGATTTTCTGCTAGACTGTTACACTCCTTTTCAGTGAGCTGGATTCCCATGTTTTCTAGAACAGTATTGATTTTACTTCTTTTAACTTTCCCTCCTTAGGAAAAAACAAAGAGTGAAAAAATTATTAAAATAATATTAAAAATATATTAATGTTTTCTGTTATTCTACAAAAAGTTTTACTATTACAATGAAAAACTAAGGAGTAAGGGAAAATACAATCAATTTCTCAGTAATATTATTACTGCTTTTAAACATGAATACCAAACTTTAGTTTAACATTGTATTAAAGAAACTTTACTTTGCCTTTTGAACTTATATCCAGGAAACAGTTTATGAAGGGGTTTTGCAACGGAAGCTTAAGACAATTAATTAAATGTATAGTAGAGAAGGATTTTGAGAAATTCCCCAGTTGTTAGAAAACTAGAACTGGTTTCCCTTATAAATTACCCTCTATCTGGTTTATACATGCTGTGAAAATAATTCATGAATATAGATTATTTTTTGATTGTTTTAAAGTAGAAAGCTATTTCTATTAGCAAAGAAGAATATATATTCATCTTTATTAGACTATCTAGAATGCTATCAGAGAGGACTTTGGCTAAAAAATGTCCTGAAGTTGAAGCATGAGTTGGGGCTGGGAGTGCATGGAGAGGAAAATTTATTTTAAAAATACACCTTCTCCTCACTTATCGACTATCTCATTATCTGACATTTCGCATTTATGACAATAGTGAAAATCTACTATCTGACTATTCTGCACATTAACAACGTAAATCTGGCAGTAACGAACAGTAACGAATACCAAGATGTGAGGCGAGAGTAATGCTGGCTTTCATGGTTACGGTTATGTGTCAACTTTGGCTGGGCCATGATTCTCAGTGGTTTAGCAGTTGTGTAATGATATAATTTAGCAGTTATGTAATGATGTAATTTGGCAGTGATTTAATGATGTAGTCATCCTCCATTTTGTGATCTGATGTGGTCATCCTCCATTTTTGCATTACTCCAATGTCATATAACAATCTGGTCTTTGGAACCTAACCATTTTGATAAGTGAGGAAAAGTGTAGTAATACTGAAGGTCTAGAGATTAGAAAAGGTAGATAACATGTCCCAGTGGGATAGATGAGGAAAACAGAACTACAGAGAGACTGACAAATCAAACTTCTGGCTATCAGTGCCCCATTTTTAAGGTGACAGTCAATTAAGCTGATAAAAACACATAGGAATTTGTTATAAAATAGGCAGCACTGTGGACAACTTCCACATTAAATTATTTAAGAAATACCAGTTGCCACTCTTCCAAAAGGCCTAGGAATGCCAAGAGGCATTCTTCCTGTGACAGGAGACTCCTCTAGTAAGTGTCAAGTTGCAGGCCTCTCTTTCCCTCATTCTCCCCACTCCCTTCTTTTTTTCTGGACTAAGGACTAGGGAAAGAGGGAAAGGAAAAAAAAAAAAAAGTACCCTAATCAAAAGCTTGTGCCTTTGTCTATATTTGTTCTAAACTGGGCTTCAGTAAAAAATATGTTCTATCTGGACAACCAAATGAACCTTAATTAATGGATTTAATTCTATTTGAAATCAATGCTCAACCTTTCTGGCAATAAGCATGATGGAGTCCATTCAGAGGCACCTCAGAAGAAAGGTCTGGCAATCTACTTCTGAAAAATTAGCCTTTGAAAACCCTGTGGAGCAGAGTTCTACTCTGACACACACGGGGTCATCATGAGTTGATTCCAGCTTGATGACAGCTGCTTTTGTTGTTGTTGTTGTTGTCTTTGCTTGTTCAGTCAGTTCTCAGAATAGCTACCTATTACTCTACCTATCACTTTTTGTGGTATCTACCTAAATTTCAAATTATACTTTGGGGGTTTACATTTTGAAATGTATGAGATTGTGGGACCCCTAGTAAAAAAACAGGACATTTATAGTAAATTACATTTATTATGAAAGAAGCTAAATTTAAAAACTAATTGATAGGAAGGGTGCCTTGATTAAAAAAATCTGATGATACAAACTTACACCTAAATCTCAAATTGTTTGTTACTCACTTTTGAAAGACTTCACACCATCCAGCAATCTATTTTTATAGATCTCCCTGGCAGCTACAATGCAAAGAATACTTTATGTCACACAAAATATGATGTAGATATTCATAAAGATAGTATATATATTCTATAATTTCAGGAAGAATTCTTATTATTTACTGCATAACTATGTTCTTATCTTATCCTCTATTTAAAAAAATGGAGAGAAGAAATCAGAACTATTTCACTGTGACAAATTAAGTAATTTTTAACACCTCAGACAGTTGTTAATAGCTCCCCTATTGTGATTATTCTTTGTTTCTTTTTTAACTTACTCTATCCAATCCTTCTAAAGTGTTTCAACCCCATCACTTTACTTCATTTTCTTTCTTAGGATAGCTTTGTCATTGGCTAGAAGGTACGACATTAAAATAATTTCAACTCCTCATGGAATCCAGACTTTCTGAAGCCACTAAGGCTGGATGAACTCTCAAAACTATTGTCCTAAGATAATCTTTAAACCTTAAACCAAAAATATCCCCTGAAGTCTTTTTAAAACCAAACAATAGTTTAGCTTAACTAGTAAAGAATGTCTGCCTTGAGCATTGTGCTCTTTTAAGAACTATCTATATGAGATCAAATGGACAACAGCAACTAGAAAGATTAGATAGGAACCTTAGGGGGCAGTGAGTTTATGTTAATGGGGGAGGAATAACTCAGAAAAAGAGGGTGAGAATGGTTGCACAACTCAAAGAATGTAACCATTGTCCCTGAATTGTACATGTAGAGACTTGAATTGGTGTATGTTTTTGTTGTGTATATTCTCAACAAGAAAAACTAAATTATTAAAAACAAACAAAAAAACTGCCTAGCCCCTGTGGCTCCACCTATAGCTTAAAAGGAGCAAAAAGTTATCTATATAATGTAAAACACACCTTTTCTAATTGCTTTAGGTATTTTTAAAAAATGCTAAACAGTTTTTTAACTTCCCTTACAGTCTCATAAAATTAAGCTCTCATGAAGTCAACAGAGACTCACCATCAACTGGCAGCATTTGTAGTAGCTTCACTTGTTCTTTGTCTGTCAGCTCAATCCCGATGTTGCTCAAAATATCTGGTAAATACTGCACATCAACCTTTTCTCCTTTAAAAAAATGATAAGGCTGTCATTAAATAATTTTGTAGAATAATTATTTCAAGTAACAAACTAATAATATTTAAACAATTTTCTCCCTAATTTGAGAAAATTCAAAGGCTTACAAAGATATATCGTATTTTTATGCAAATAATGTGCACCTTCTATGTTTTTTGCCAACCATGCCCTTTCCTCACAAGATATTTTCATAAGTGTTGGCTACACTATTTTTTTTTTTTTTTTACATGTGGGTGTAAAAAAATTACCATTGTGCACTTACAAAAATACCTCGTTGGTGGGGGAAGGCATAGTTGGCAAACAAAAGTAGAAAGTGGGCGTTATTTGCATAAAAACACAGTACACATCGATACAGAGTCAAAGAGGGATCACATATCAAGTTTATCTATTTAAAAATCCTGAAAAATAGGATTCCCTAACCTGAGGACAAGTTGAAGTAGAAGAAAAGTAAATTTAACTTGAATAACTATCTAGTTAATTAGATTATCAGAATCAATTCATTTATACATCTTACCAGAGAGCACTATGTATTTAAAATTTTTTTCCTAAATTATATAATTGGCTCTTCATACTGACAATAAAAAAAAAACCTTATCTTATATGATCTATTCTGATTTGGGAGTTGATAAATGATGCTGAGGTGAATGATACTCTTAGTAAAAAACTCCAGAAAGACTGCAAGCTGGTTAACAATTATAGACATTTAATTACAATATATAAAGGCAAATTATAGGATATTAGAAGCAAGTGTTTTATTAAAAAATTTAAAAATAAGGCAAAGAAAACTTAAGAAAATGCTATTTTAAAATAGACTACTAAAAATATACTGCATACAGCCTGGGGTCTTGTTTTTATAGTAACTTTTCACTCACCTGTAAAAGCCTTTAATCCATCTAACAACTTTCTCATTGTAACTTTCCCATCTGCTGTAAAAAGAAATACAAATAATAAAAATGAATAGAATACAGAGCAGAGGTACAGCCAATATGCAGCCAGTATTTAACTCTGAGTGATACACAATAAAAACTTTTTTTGGTGATAAGCCACTGTGATTTGTGGGTTGTTTGTTACTGCAGGGAGGATCACTAGCCCTAGCTAACAAAGAAAATGGAATCACAAATGCACTGGTACCTTAACAACAACACCTATAATATGTGGCATTGTCTCTGGGGCTGGAATAATAACCATATAGTACAGATTACTGAAAATAAATGGATACCTTTATAAATATATATCCTGTAAATAATACATATCCTACACAAAGGTACAGGAATCAATGATACCAAATAGCATATAAGTTAAATGAGCAGGTTTTAGATAAGCACTTACACGAAATACTTTTTCTAGGTTAATATACCTTATTTTGTTCATTTGCGCTGGAGTTACTTTGTGTACTTCAGAGAGTCTCCAGCCCAGTAAGAGGCAGCTGAAGCCCAGGAACACAGCCCTTGGATCATGGAGCTTGGCCCAGAAGAAGAGAATACTGCAGCTTCATGGAGGAAACAGGTTGTGCATGCTGCCTGAACCCTTCATTGCCCTTGATCTGATAATAGTTGCTAGGGTCTGTTATGACTTCATGGCAAAGGGAATGTGTGCTAGACTCGTCATTCCTTCCTGTCTCTTTTCTGTCTTTTTATCTAACGGTATTTGACTGGATGAAGGGGATTAGTAGTACGGAAATGATCATTTTAACAGATGTTATTGTTAGGTTCCATCAAGTCAGTTCCGACTCATAGCAACTCCATGCACAACAGAGAGAAACACTGCTCAGTCTTGTGCCATCCTCACAATTGCTGTTATGCTTGAGCCCATTGTTGCCGCCACCGTGTCAATCCATCTTGTTGAGGGTCTTCCTCTTTTTCGCTCACTCTATACTTTACCAAGCATGAAGTCCTTCTCCAGGAACTGGTCCCTCCTGATAACATGTGCAAAGTATGTGAGATGAAGTTTCGCCATCCTCGCTTCTAATGAGCATTCTGGCTGTACTTCTTCCAAGAAGGATTTGTTCCTTCTTCAGGCAGTCCATGGTATATTCAATATTCTTTACCAACACCATAATTCAAGGGCATCCATTTCTCTTTGGTCTTCCTTATTCACTGCCCAGCTTTCACATGCATATGAGGCGACTGAAAACACCATGGCTTGGGTCAGGCACACCTTAGTCCTTAAAGTGACACCTTTGCTTTTGAACAGTTTAAAGAGGTCTTTTGCAGCAAACTTGCCCAATGCAATGTGTCATTTGATTTCCTGACTGCTGATTCCATCGCTGTTGATTATGGATCCAAGTAAAATGAAATCCTTTACAACTTCAGTATTTTCTCTCTTCATCATAATGTTGCTTATTGGTCCAGTTGTGAGGATTTTTGTTTTCTTTATGTTGAAGTATAACCCATACTGAAGGCTGTGTTCTCTGATCTTCATGAGTAAGTGCTTGAAGTCCTCTTCACTTTCAGCAAGGAAGGTTGAGTCATTTGCATATCACAGGTTGTTAATGAGTCTTCCTTCAATCCTGATGCTACATTCTTCTTCATATAATCCAGCTTCTTGGATTATTTGCTCAGTATAAAGACTGAATAAGTATGGTGAAAGGATACAACCCTGACACACACCTTTCCTGACTTTAAACCACACAGTGTTCCCTTGTTCTGTTCGAACCACTGCCTCTTGGTTTAAGTATAGGTTCCTCATGAGCACAATTAAGTGTTCTGGAATTCCCATTCTTCACAATGTTATCCATAATTTTGTTATGATCTACACAATTGAATGCCTTTGCATAGTCAATAAAACACAGGTAAGCATCTTTCTGGTATTCTCTGCTTTCAGCCAAAACCCATCTGACATCAGCAATGATATCCCTCGTTCCACACCCTCTTCTGAATCCAGCTTGATTTTCCGTCAGTTCCCTGTCGATGTACTGCTGCAACCACTTTTGAATGCTCTTCAGCAAAATTTTACTTGCACGTGATATTAATGACATTGTTTGAACATTTCCACATTCTGTTGGATCACCTTTCTTTGGAATGGGTACAAATATGAATCTCTTCCAGTCGGTTGATCAGGTAGCTGCTTTCCAAATTTCTTGGCACAGACGAGTGAGCACTTTCAGTGTTGCATCATTTGTTGAAACATCTCAGTTGGTATTCTGTCAATTCCTGGAGGCTTGTTTTTCACCAATGCTTTCAGTGCAGCTTGGACTTCTTCCTTCAGTACCATTGGTTCTTGACCATATGCTACCTCCTAAAATGGTTGAACTTCAACCAATTCTTTTTTGCTACAGTGACTGTGTATTCCTTCCATCTTCTCTTGATGCTTCCTGCATCATTGAGTATTTTCCAATAGAATCCTTCAATATTGCAACTTGAGGCTTGAGTTTTCTCTTCAGTTCTTTCATCTTGAGAAATGTCAAGCGTGTTCTTCCCTTTTGGTTTTCTATCTCCAGGTCTTTGCACATTTCATTAGAATACTTTATTTTGTCTTCTCGAGCTGCCCTTTGAAATCTTCTATTCAACTCTTTGACTTCATCATTTCTTCCCTTCGCTTTAGCTACTCAACGTTCAAGAACAAGTTTCAGAGTCTCTTCTGACATTCATTTTGGTCTCTTCTTTCTTTCCTGTCTTTTTAATGACCTCTTGCTTTCTTCGTGTATGATGTCCTTGATGTCATTCCACAACTTGTCTGGTCTTCAGTCATTAGTGTTCAATACGTCAAATCTATTCTTGAGATGGAAATTCAGGTGGGATATACTCAAGGTCGTACTTTGGCTCTCGTGGACTTGTTCTAATTTTCTTCAGTTTCAACTTGAACTTACATATGAGAAATTGATGGTCTTTTCCACAGTTGGCCCCTAGCCTTGTTCTGACTGATATTGAGCTTTTCCACAGTCTCTTTCCACAGATGTAGTCAATCTGATTCCTGTGTTTTCCATCTGGTAAGGTCCATGTGTATAGTTGCCATTTATGCTGTTGAAAAACGGTATTTGCAATGAAAAAGTCGCTGGTCTTGCAAAATTCTATCATGCGATCTCTGGCATTGTTTCTATCACCAAGGCTGTATTTTCCAACTACCAATCCTTCTTCTTTGTTTCCAACTTCAGCATTCCAATCGTCAGTAATTATCAATCTTGACTGCATGTTTGATCAATTTCAGACTGCAAGAATTGGTAAAAATCTTCAATTTCTTCATCTTTGGCCTTAGTAGTTGGTGCATAAATTTGAATAATAGTCATACTAACTGGTCTTCCTTGTAGGCATATGGATATTATCCTATCACTGACAGCGTTGTACTTCAGGATAGATCTTGAAATGTTCTTTTTGGCGATGAACACAATGCCATTCTTCTTCAATTGTCATTCCTGGCATAGTAGACCATATGATTGCCTAATTCAAAATGGTGAACACCAGTCCATTTCAGCTCACTAATGCCTAGGATATTGATGTTTATGCATTCCATGTAATTTTTGACGATTTCTAGTTTTCTTAGATTCATACTTTGTACATTCCACCTTCCTATTATTAATCGATGTTTGCAGCTGTTTCTTCTCATTTTGAGTCGTGCCACATGAGCAAATGAAAGTCCAGAAAGCTTGACAACATCCACATCATTAAGGTTGACTCTACTTCGAGGAGGCAGCTCTTCCGCAGTGGTCTTTTGAGTGCCTTCCAACCTAAGGGGCTCATCTTCCGGCACTATATCAGACAATGTTCCACTGCTATTCCTAAGGTTTTCACTGACTTTTTTCAGAAGTAGACCGCCAGGTCCTTCTTCCTAGTCTGTCTTAGTCTGGAAGCTCAGCTGAAACCTGTCCACCATGACTGCTGGTATTTGAATACTGGTGGCATAGCTTCCAGCATCACAGCAACATCCAAGCTCCTACACTATGACAAACTGACAGACACATGGGGGTTTTAGCAGATAGTTGGTGGCATTTAAAACATTCCCCAACTTTAGCATTCTCTCTTCTCATTGTCATTTTATATATTTTTTCCCCTCTAATTTTATTCCATTGTAATTTTGCTCTCTTCTGTCCTCTAACTTGTTTTTTCCCCAACTCTTCCACGTCTGGTAGTGGTCCTTCCTGAACAAACTCTCATCCCTGCTTAGGATTCAAGTGAAGTAAATTACATCATGAACTAATGAAAATCATAAAAGACAACATTAGTCCTTAATTGCTTTGTGGATTCTTTTATACATTTTTGTACTTGCCTACCTATGCCAAATAAACGTTTTAATGGATTGATTAATTAATACTTGTGTAAAATCCCAGGTTTTACTGAGTAGTTTAAAAATATCTTAAACGCTCACCATCAATGGGCAGGTTCCCTTTCAGATCATTAATTTCTTCTTCTGTGAGTTTCAGTCCCTGGTTTCTCAAAATTAGGTCCAGGTTATTGACATCAACAGTCCCTCCTTGGGAAAACAAGAGGAATATGAGCAAAATCTCACAGATTCAAAGCTCTTAATTTCTGTATACTATGGTTATCATTTTCAGCATGAAGACCAAGGCTCCAGAGTACAAAGAGGCAATTAATGGAGTTAAAAACAGAACCTCTTTCCCTAGTTGGATCTTGGTGACAGGCTTACACAGCATACGTTTTTAAAGGGGTCCAGTCACTGTTTAACAATTTACGGCAAGGGGAAAAATAACATTTCTCACCAATAAGTGGGCTCATTTTTGTTTATCAGATTAGTTGTCTCTGCTCCTAACTAAATTTCTGGAATAATTTTCCTTTAATTTCACTGTTCAGACATTGATTCCATTTTCTTTTTCTGCCAAATCTGAGAATTTTTTTAAAAAATTCAATAGGAAGATAGTTTGCTAACAGAACTATATAGGGAGGTAGAAATGGTATCAATATTTAAATAGGTTGGCAAGATTCACAATTTAATGTTTAGGAAACAGTACATGTGTCTCTCAGATTCATCAGGCTTTTCATTATACTTTTAACTTACCATTCAGAGGCTTCAAATCACCCAGTAATCTACTCTTGTAGACTTTTCCATTAGCTACAAGAAACATAAATCAGGTCACACACAAGTGATATGGAGATTCACCAGTGCAGCAAAAGTCATAATTTAAGGTAAAAAGGATATTTAATTTTCTCCAGAAAATTTCCAACTCACTTTCAAATTAAAAAAAAAAAATGATGTGACCATTCAATGTAGTCCCCCTATTCAATTGTTGGTACATAAGAATGTTATTGCTGGCAATCTACAATATGTTCACACACATCAGTTTTTACATTTCTTTTGTCGAATATTAACTAAAAATTAATGACTGCTTATGCCTCAGTCAAAACCTTTCTGTGAACAAATAAATCAAAATAGTTGTTATTGACAAATAGAAACCCGGACGAAAAAATACGGAATTTTCCAAAGTGTTCTAACCACGAAAGCTTTCCAAAAAGAACACCTTGACGGTTAAAAATGTTTGTGATTCACTATTCCAGACTCAACCAATTTTCATCAGACAAGTATAACTATGGAACCAATGAGAAGAAGACTCCCTGTTTGTAAAACTATCCTTTCAATTACAGACATACCTAAAACTCAATCATTTTACTTCCTTACTGGATATCCTCACACTGCCTTTAAAAACTCTGAGCCTTTGTCAGTTTGGGCTTGGATGCTTTCTGTTTGCAAATAGCTTCTTGCTCAAAAAACCCCGTTAACTCTAATTGACTCATTAATCAAAAATTTCCTTTTGACAATTTTCAGTTCTCTAATTTCCTTTTTCTGTTCTTTTACACAATTCCCAGTTTAACCCTTACAACTCCCTCTCAGTGGAATCAAGGGTGACAAAAGATATTTCTTAACCTTGAGGCAGGATTTGCGAATAAAGCAGCTGAATCCCAAAATTAAAAACATATAATTGATAAATATTTTAAGGTGAAACTAAATCATTCGTTTTCTTTAAAAATGGTTTATGACTATGTAAAAAATAAATAATCCTATGTAAGTTTACATAAATGTATAAACTGGATAATATCATACATGGATGTGCTTTTTAAGTTTAATTTTTTCTTCATTTTTAAATTTCTCTTGAATCTCTTGTTCCTTTCTTCTCCCTTCTATTTCAGTCCCTAGGTAACTAATGTTAACAAACTAGAATGTATCTTTATATTAGGTATGTGTATGCATGTCAGTGAGTGAGTGTGTGTGTATGTATGATTATTTGGGCTTGGGATTATTAATTCCAAATGATTTTAAGAGTATTTTTTATGCCACCAAATTGGAATATTATAGAAATTCTCACAAACATAGCAAGAAATGTATGCTTCTAACAAGACCATATTGATATCTTAAATACTTACAATTAACTGGTAGATTTTTTACTAGTTTCACAAGTTCCTTATCTGTGAATGTTATCCCCATTTTTCCAAGAACATTTTCGACATCACTGACATCAACTTCTCCTCCTTCAATATAATTGAAATGGTGACAGATTGGTATATTGAGAAAGGTCTAATATCTCTAAAACCAAAAAAAAAAAATCCAAACCCACTGCCGTCGAGTCAGTTCTGACTCATAGAGACCCTACAGGACAGAGTAGAACTGCCCCATAGGGTTTCCACAGAGCAGCTGGTGGATTTGAACTGCCGACCTTTTGCTTAGCAGATGAACGCTTAACCACTGTGCCACCAGGGCTCCAATATCTCTAAAGACGTGAAAAATTATTGATGCCTACTATTCAGTTTCAGATACAACATTTGCATGAGCTTCTAGAAAAGTACACTGAGACCTCTTCAACATTATCAATGACTGTCATAGAAATAGAAATTTTTTCTTTACTCTTATTACAATGATAGACATAACAATGTAGTTTACATGATGTAAATTAGGATGTTGTAAGTAATGATCCAAATGTTTTCTCAGGATACTGTCTCTCCCTTAGTCTCTTAATAATAATAGAATATCTTTATGAAAGTTTTGCTGCATCATTTGTTTTGCTAATTTAAATTTTGACTTAGAAAATCAGGAATAGTGACTGTTATTGGCAAATGTTCCAGAAACTAAAGAATTTACTGTCAGAAGACTGCATTGAAATTTTAGTGCTAAAATGCAGATCCTGTAAATTACAATTTACATGTACATATTCATCAATAGAAAGGAAAATGGGCAGAATAAAAAAGGCAATGAAAGAATGATGGGACTATATAACAATATAATTCTGTATAAAAACATTAGACTTATAGTGACTTCTAAATAACCTGTAATAGTTTCCACTGCTTCCATCAACATATGGAGATCAACGTTCTCATTAGCTGCAAGAAAAATCATAATTAGGATATGGACACCATTTTAAAAAGATAAAGGAGATAAATTAGAAAATATATTCCACTCATATTTATTTGAACCAATCCAAAATTTATATGCAATGGATGAGAAGAAGTCATTCTACGATAGCTAGAAAGTTGGCTCAAGAAAACTAAGCCTTAGGTTTGTAGAAATGTTAGAATGGGCTAATAGTGTTGGTTTGAGCCTCTGTCAGTCCTTACTTGTTATACAAATACGAAGTCTTCCCAGGGCTTACGTTGAAAGAGACTCCAGTTTTTATCTTCTATCTTTTCCTAATTCGTTTGTTGTTGATGATATTTTAACTACTTACATAGAATGGCTGGTGACATGCATAGATGTTTTCAATCTTTTGTTACCAATATATCTATAAAGTTTGGGTAAATATTTCTACCTTTCTATCTTTTGGAAAAAGAAGTCATTACTTAAAGCTAGAGAGTTGTGAAAACGTGGGAACTGTTCCAATATCAGGAAGGATTGATCAACCCCATAGGGCCAGCTACAGAATTTACAGGGCCTACCGCAAAATGGGGCCCTGGTAGTGCAATGGTTAAGAACTTGGCTGTTAACCAAAAGGTCAGCAGTTCTAATCCACCAGATGCTCCTTGGAAACCCTATGTGGCAGTTCTACTCTGTCCTTTAGGGTTGCTATGAGTTGGAATTGACTTGACAGCAGTGGGTAAGCCAAGAATAAAAACCCAAGACCCCTTGTTCAAAAAGCAGGGAAAAAGTTTTCCTCTTCTTTCAAAGTCTCTCTTGCCTTGTCAATGTCCGTGTAATGTTTTTTGTTTGTTTGTTTAATCTGCTATTTAGTTTGTGATCTCTTGGGATGGACTACTAGTGAGGTGAGTGCAGACTCTCACAGGAGTCTGCTGGCCCCATCCCACAACTCAGTGTGCACGGGGCCCACCAGCCACAGGGTTGCCATTCCTGCCTGCTGCTAGATTGACACACCTGGAAGTTGAGTGAGGCATCTCCTTTTCATATGTGCCCGTTGCCTCAACTCATGGCAAATTAGTGATTCCCAAGAGAATTGCAGCCTTTATGCAGAGTTTTATACCTCTGGATACCTAGATGGGGGTGAACAAAAGGCTTGACCCTACTGAAGGCCTTGTGGCAATGTCAGTCCAGAGTGGAAAAGCGGCTGCCATAGCCTGCCATAAGATGCTGTCAGGTTCACGTGCACAGTTTCAGCCCTCCCTATACCTGTGCCCAGATCCCCACTGAGGGAGGAGGGCAGCAGCAGTTGCTAGGCAGGGGATGTGAAATGAAGGTCTATGGGCCCAGGGAGCACAAAGAGATTGAAGGAGAATGCTTCCTGGGCAGGTGACAGGAGGCACGAACACACCTGAGCTGATGCTCCAAGCCCTCAGTGCATGCTCTATTTTCTCACCTTACTTCGATTACAAAACACTAACTCAAAGATTCTACTACAAATAATTTCAAGTGGCAACCATAGCGCATTAAGCCCCAACCCTGGGGCTCTCCTGAGCATCGGGCTCTGTGGAACTATACTCATTACACATTGTGAGCTGGCCCTAAACTCCACAGTCATATCTAAAAACAAGGTAGAAAGAAGGTCCACAATACAATGCAAACTAATCAATTAGTCAAAGGCTCAGGAGGAGAGCTAATTGCACTAACTGTAACCCCTGTTCCTTAGGAATTCATAAAATTAAAAATGAAAAACAAAATTGTCACAATCAAGTAAACAGAAGTAAAAATCCATTGCCATTGAGTCGATTCTGACTCATAGCAACCCTACAGGACAGAGTAAAACTGCCCCATATGATTTCCAAGCAGCCGCTGGTAGATTCAAGCTGCTGATCTTTTTGGTTAGCAGCTGAGTTCTTAACCACTACGCCACCAGGGCTCTAAACAGGAAGTAAATAATAATAAAGTACAGGCATGCCTTGTTTTATTGTGCTTCACTTTACTGCACTTTGCAGATATTGCGTTTTTTACAAATGGAAGGTTTGTGGTAACCCTGTCGAGCAAGTCTATCGGTGCCATTTTTCCAACAGTATGTGCTCACTTCTTGTCTCTGTGTCACATTTTGGTAATTATCACAATATTTCAAACTTTTTCATTATTATTATAACTGTTATGGTGATCTGTGATCAGTGATCTTTGATGTTACTATTGTAATTGTCTTGGGAGCCATGAATCATGCCCATATAAGTTGGCAAAATTAATCTTAATTGATAAATATTGTGTGTGTTCTGATTGTTCCACCAACCAGCCATTCCCCCATCTTTCTCCCTCTGCTCGGGCCTCCCTACTCCCTGAGACATGACAATATAGAAATCAGGCCAATTAATAACCCTACAATGGCCTCTAAGTGTTTAAGTGAAAGGAAGAGTTGCACACCTCTCTCACTTTAAATTAAAAATTAGAAATGATTAAGCTTAGTGATGAAGGCATGTTGAAAGCTGAGATAGGCCGAAAGCTAGGCCTCTTGAGCCAAACAGTTAGCCAAGTTGTGAATGCAAAGAAAAAGTTCTTGAAGAAAATTAAAAGTGCTACTCTAGCAAACAAACGAATGATAAGAAAGCGAAACAGCCTTATTGGTGATATGGAGAAAGTTTTAGTGGTCTGGAGAGAAGATCAAACCAGCCACAACATTCCCTTAAGCCAAAGCCTAATCCAAAGCAAGGCCCTAACTCTCTTCAATTCTCTGAAGGCTGAGAGAGGTGAGGAAGCTGCAGAAGAAAAGTTTGAAGCCAGCAGAGATTGGTTCATGAGGTTTAAGGAAAGAAGCCGTCTCCACAACATAAAAGTGCAAAGCGAAGCAGCAAGCTGATGTGCAAGCTGCAGTAACTTATCCAGAAGATCTAGCTAAGATAACTGATGAAGGTGGCTACACTAAACAACAATTTTCAATGTAGATGAAACAGCCTTATATTGGAAGAAGATGCCACCTAGGACCTTCACAGCTAGAGAGGAGAAGTCAATGCCTGGCTTCAAAGCTTCAAAGGACAGTCTGACTCTCTTGCTAGGGGCTAATGCAGCTGGTGACTTTAAGTTGAAGCCAATGCTTATTTACCATTCAGAAAATCCTAAGGCCATTAAGAATTATGCTAAATCTACTCTGCCTTTCCTCTATAAATGGAACAACAAAGCCTGGATGACAGCACATCTGTTTACGACATGGTTTACTGAATATTTTAAGCCCATTGTTGATACCTACCCCTCAGAAAAAAAAAATTCCTTTCAAAATATTACTGCTTATTGATGATGCACCTGGTCACCCGTGAGCTCTGGCAGAGATGTACAACGAGATTAACGTCGTTTTCATGCCTGCTAACACAACATCCATTCTGCAGTCTATGAGCCAAGGAGTAATTTCAACTTTAAAGTCTTATTATTTAAGAAATACATTTTGTAAGGCCATAGTTGCCATAGATAGTGATTCCTCTGATAGATCTGGGTAAAATAAATTGAAAACCTTCTGGAACGGATTCACCATTCTAGATGCCATTAAGAACATTCGTGATTCATGGGAAGAAGTCAAAATGTCAACATTAACAGGAGTTTGGAAGAAGTTGATTCCAACACTCATGGATGACTCTGAGAGGCTCAAGACTTCAGTGGAGGAAGTAACTACAGATGTGGTGGAAATAGCAAGAGAACTAGAACTAGAAGTGGAGCCTGAAGATGTGACTGAATTGCTGCAATTCATGATAAAACTTTAACAGATGAGTTGCTTCTTATGAATGAGCAAAGAAAGCGGTTTCTTGAGATGGAATCTACTCCTGGTGAAGATGCTGTGAACACTGCTGAAATGACAATAAAGGATTTAGAATATTAACATAAACTTAGTAGATAAAGCAGCAGCAGGGTTTGAGAGGATTGTCTCCAATTTTGAAAGAAGTTCTACTGTGGGTAAAATGCTATCAAACAGCACTACATGCTACAGAGAAATCTTTTGTGAAAGGAAGAGTGAATTGATGCGGCAAACTTCATTGTTGTCTTATTTTAAGAAACTGCCACAGCCACCCCAACCTTCAGCAACCACCACCCTGATCAGTCAGCAGCCATCAACATCGAGGCAAGACCTTCCATCTGCACAAAGATTATGACTCAGTTAAGGCCCAGATGATGGTTAGCATTTTTTAGCAATAAAGTATTTTTTAATTAAGGTATGTACATTTTTTTTAGATATAATGCTATTGCACACTCAATAGACTACAGTACAGTATAAACATAACTTTCATATGCACTGGGAAACCAAAATAATTCGTATGACCATCGCTTTATTACGATATTCGCTTTATTGCAGTGGTCTGGAACTGAACCTACAATATCTCCAAGGTATGCCTCTAAATAGAACAGACATCCAGTGACTAGGGCTGATGGACATGAGGCTGAATTAAATGGTATCAGAGAAGTTGAGATTGTGAAAGGTGAGAAAAGAAACCTAAGATTAAATCTGCATTCTGTATATGAGCCAGTTTCCCCAATGACAAATTAAGACTTGTGTAGGTTGCAGCTGGTTACAGACGTGCCTCTAAGAATTAAGGCTTCTCAACTGGGAATAAAGCAATTTCCTGCAATGCAGTTTTTGGCTTGCTCCATAGGAATATAGTTACCTGAATAAAGATTACTGGGAAATAGTCCTAGCTGACTTCATTTAGTTGGATTTGGTTTGATTTAGTTCTAGGCTTTGTAGAAGTGTGCTTCTTAGCTTGAAAGCAGAGAGTGAGCACATATTATAGGCAATTGTTAGTAAATTTGTACACTGACAAATCAGATATGGTTCCTGCTGAAATGCAGCTCTCAGTTTTTCAACAGGAGAGTGATATAAAGGCTCCTATTTGTAATACAGATCCTGCTACCACTCAGAATGCCATTCATATTCAAAATGGGGGATCGGACATTTCAGCGTGATTGCAGAGCAGTGAGAAATAAGGAGTAATAAGAGATAGGCTAGATTCCAAGGACCAGATCCAGGAGATCCTTCTACATGCCATGCTTGGACTAAAGAGCTTGGATTTTTTGGGTAGACAATGGCAAGCCACTGAAGGGATTTAAGTAAGGAAATGATACACTGTATTTTTACGCAAATAGCTTGCACGGTCTACATTTGTTTGCCAGTTGTGCCCACCCCCCAGCCACCGACGCATTTTCATAAACGCAGCTATGCCAATTCTTTTTTACATGTTGCTATGAAAAAAATTAGCATAGTGTGCTTACAAAAATACCTTGCGTGCGGGGGATGGGGGAGAGCATGGCTGGCAACAAACGTAGAAGGTGCTCATTATTTGCGTAAAAATATGGTAGCTGTATTTACATTTTAGATAGAGGTTTCTGATAGCTCTAGAAAAGATGGCTTTAAAAGGAGATAACATGTAGTTAGAGAATTGATTTGGTAATTAATAGGATATAGACAGAAAGGGAAAGTGAGAAGTGAAGGACGATAATAACATTCTTGATTGTGTGACTGGAAAATAATGATGACACCTACTCAGAGGGAAACCATATTATGGCAGGAAATTATGCAATCAGTTTTAAACATAGTGAATGTAAGAATGTATAATAGGAGTTTTGGATACATTAACCTTATAATCAGGAAAGAACCCTAACCTATAGATCTGAAGTTTTCAGCATAGAGATAATAACTGAAAACATGAGACTGGATAACATTTCCCTGGGAAGTGTGTAAAAATGAAATGAGTAATGGACATTTCAGAGTTACACTGGTGAGGAATAACTATTTAGTGAGGACACCGCCAATATGGAGCCTCCTTCACTGTTTACTCCAGTTCCCAAAACTTTTATTCTGCTCTGTGTCCATTTCATAATTTGAAAGTGATGCCTATTTTCTTAGCAATGCTAAGAACACAGAGGGGAAGAAGTAAGTGACTATGAATTTCTGAAACAAAGAGTCATGCTCTATTCTTACAATAGAACTATCATTTCACTTTGGCAAAGTCCACCAATACTCCTATTTTTCTCCCAAAATGTAGAATTGTAGATGGAAGTGGTTGCCCAGTCAGAATACATTTCCCAGCCTCCTCTACCCCTTGCATTTAGGTGTAGCCATGTGACTAGTTCTCCAAAAAAGGAATGGTTGTGAAAATGATGTGTGTCACATTACCTTCCTACTTTATGCTCTCTTCTCTATGCCATCAGTTGGATACAAGCAATGAAAACCCTAGAGGGACCTCCAACATGGAAAAACCTGGGTCCCTGTATCACTTAATGAAGAAGAACCACTGCCCACCAACAAAACATACCCTCTCTCACCTTGAACTTTTATGGGAAAGAGAAATAAACTTCTATTTTATTTAATCATTATATATTTGGGGGGTTATTTTTTAAATAGAAGTTTGGATTATCCTAAATAATGCATGCTCTGTTTAAACAAAATATCACAAGTTACTAATTGGTATTTTCTGAAACAAGTCCACCAGTACAAATTCCTTTCTAAAACACATTGTTATCTACAATGCTCACCATTAAGTGGAAGATTTTTTGTCAGACTTTCACGTTCCTTTTCTGTGAGTTCAACCCCCAGGTTTTCCAGAACACAGTCTAGGTTATTGCCTTTAACCATTCCTCCTTAGGAAAGAAACAGGAAAGAATCATGAGAAAAGAAATTATTTCAAAATATTAATACATTCATGCATAAATATTATCTTATATACATTTTAGGATGATAGAAAATAAAGATAAATGTATCACTTATTTGTATTAGCAAATAAGCATATCAGGAAGGTTAGCTCAGCAAATCACCTTAAAAGATGTCCAGAACAATTTAGATAAAAATGTTTTAAAATTGAAGCATTACTTAGAGGGTTGTGATTGTGTGTTTAAGATTATTATCTGCAGTATTAGTAATAATCACCTGTGAAAACAGAGGGCCAAACATACAGAAGAGGGAGATGGTGTTCTCATGGGGCATATATGGGACAGATGGGAAGAATACTATGCAAGTCTGTCCCAAAAACAAAGTCAACGGAAGAGCTGAGAATGACAGTTTAAGCTTAATACTAACAATGTTCCACTTTATTGCTACATCTAAGAAAGTGGATTAAAGATTATAGCAAATGGCTCTAATAGGAAAGAGTATTATGAACAACAAGTGTTGTTGACCGCCATTATTTCAAAGACCTGGAATATCAGGAGGCACTCTGCCACCTGCAGGCGACTCCTTTCACCAAATATTAAGCAGCAAAGCCTGTAATCTTTCCTCTTCCCTCTCTACTTACTTCTATTGTTCAAAGGGCTGATAGGAGAAAGAAGTAGAAAAACAGCTTAGTCACAGCCCATTTCCACCCTACGTTAAAAAAAATTAATTGGCCTTCAGAAAAGAACATAGAGAAAACAAAGAATCTTGACTCATGGAATAAAATTATATCCTCTGTATAATAAGCTGCTTTTGGGAAAATTCCTAGAAAAACTGGTTAATAGTCTCTACATTATTTGCTGTATGTAATAAAATTTCAAATTATCCTTTGGAGATGCCTTTTAGAAATATTCAAGAGAGTACTGACTCCTTGTAAAGATATAGGTGATTATATTAAAGGATCATGTAATGAATGCAATGAAATTAGGAATCTAAATATAGGAACATAGACACACAAAAAAATCTAGTGATATAAATGCATATGTTGACGATTGTTAGCAGACTTTTATGCTAATCAGGCTTGTTACATACCTTTGATAGACTTCACACCATTCAACAATCTGTTCTGATACACCTTTCCTGTATCTATGACAAAAAGCACAATTTATATCAGAAGGAAAAGAATGTAGACAGTCACAAAGTTTTTGAGCAACTGAGTAATTCCAGATATACGCTTTCTTATGCTTTCCCTAGGAAATCTGTCCAGCCTTCCCATCAAATAAACACCATTTTAAGAAAAGGAAAATTTTCTTAGTGACAAAAATCTCTGCAGGATTTGGTAACTGAGAAAACTGCAAGAGAGATTCTACTATTCAGAGACAACCACTATTTCTTTGCACCCCTTCTCCTTCTATTATACAGAGACAATCACTACCCTTTTGTGTCCCTTGTCTGTCTGACTTCTCCCTTGCCTTCCTTTTACTGCTCTCTCTCTCCTCTCAGTTTCCTACCTTTCCCTTCATATCATTTGAACCTCTCAGTAGCCTGAATAGGTAAGATGATTACATTTGTGTCAGCTCTGATGGCAAGATTTATGGTTGAAGAGCTTGGTGACCCCAAGATTAAATCTATTTGACACTGAACTTACTTTTCCCTAGTAATTTTCAGCACTTCTTAGAAGAAAAAATTAAAGCAATAACACTTTAGAGTTGCTCACAACAACCCTAAAGACCAAGGTCCCTGGAAGGCCACAGTGGCACTTACATATGGCTTACCATCAATTGGCAGTGTTTCTAGCAGCTTCACATGATCTTTTTCTGTGAGCTCAATCCCCATGTTTCCCAGAACTTTCAGCAGATTATTGGCATCAATCTTTTTTCCTTTCAAAAGATAGGAATGTTAGTGCTTGACAGTTACTGGAACCATGTAATAATTCCAAATAATCAAAAATTCATCAGCTGTGCTTTATCAACTTCAACCTAAAGTAGTGAATAGGTAGAATGAGACACATACTCAGAATTATGGGGGAACTACAAACAGATCTTCATCCCCCGATTTCATAAAAGGGAGACTCTCTTAGTGATGGATTTAATGCAGCAGTGTAATAATTGTGCTTTCAAGGTTGGCCAGCAAATTAGAATAATATAGTTGGCGGGAATTTTAAATTATGTGGTATTTTTCTGCACAGTGGTCACTATCAAAACTTTAGCTTGCTATTTACTATGCCTATCAAAGTATGGTGGTATTTGAAGATAAGTGAAATAAATAAAATTATTTCCACATTTTTCATTCAGAATTTTAATTGTATATTTTGTATTTGTGTATTTTAAATTTAATTGTGTAAGGTAAACCACAGCATAGGACTTTGAAAGCAAGTATTTGATGAAAAAGTAAAAAATAGCAAAATATAACAGTTTGATTAAATTGAAAAATATTTTAAAAATTAATACAATCTTATAGTAACTTGCCACTCACCAGTAAAAGCTTTCATTCCATCTATCAACTTTTTCATTTCAACTTTCCCATTAACTGTTAAGAAAAATGTATAAATCAAATACATATATGACAATGACACTCAGTAAAAGTATGAAATGAACAAAGAAATTAAGCAAAATTTATATACTCAAAAATATCCTACACTCATTCCTTTCATGAGCCAGAAGCTTTAGATTATGATTATTACTGCTTTGATTCATTGTGGTACAGGAAATGAAACCTCGGGCAGTTAAACATGAGATACAAAATTAAGTGATCGTTTCCCTGAGGCCTGTTTTATTAGTTCCTATGCCTTGGAACAATCTCTACTGCTTACATCTAGCACAAGGATCAGGATTTACAATTTGATGTACTACATATTAAGGTTTCTACTAGGATTTTAAAAATTATAACCTTAGGTAATGAGTGACAGCAATTTCTGAGCAATTCCTGACTTTTTCCTGACACAGAGATTCCTACTCTTTCTTCTATATAAGAAATTAATAATCACTCCAGTGGTTAGCCAGTGGTAATTTGAAAAAGCAAAAATACTATATACTATTCTACGTATGTACTTGTAAATCAATTTTAAAGAGACATTAACATGAAAGTGTATTATAAAGATAGAATTAACTCAGAAGTTGAGGATTTCAGATTTATTTTCCTTTATTGAAAGGAACATAACTAAAAAATTTCATCTGCAGGATATAGTCTTGATTTTTGCCTATTGTAGACAACAAATATTTAAATAGAAGTTTCATGTTGTTGAGAAATTCTTATATTTGGAACACATGAAATTAATGAAAAAAGTTATCAATAATTTTAAGTTTTTACCGAGCATGTGTAAGTAGAAGACTTGCCAGAAAAAAGTTATCTATTGTCTACACTGTTATTAAATCTAGGCTGAGAGGAATTTCTGTTTCTCATTTTTCTCCTGAATCTAAAACGACAGAGCAGGCTATTAATATTTTAAAGAGACTTATGACACATACATTCACCATACAATTCACCCATTTAATGAGTAAAACTGCATGTTGTACTATCACCACAATCTAATTTTAGAACATTTTCATCACTCCAAAAAGAAACTTCATATCCATTAGCTTGACGTTACCATCCCTGTGCCCCACCTACCACCCTAGGCAATCACGAATCTACTCTCTTTCTCAATACACTTACCGGATCTAGACATTTCATATAAATGGAATTATACAATATATGGTCTTTTGTGATGGGCTTCTTTCTTTAGCCTGTTCTTATCAATCCACTGCACTTCAGCCCTAATTCAACTTTAACTGTATTTCAGAGTTTGTTTCTAGCTCTTTAAGGGGGAGGCCTCAGAATACAGCCCTTGGCTCGTGAAGTCTGGCCTGAGAATTGGGATGTTACGTGGCTTTATAAATAGGGGAACATTCCATAGATTATGGCCTGGGTGTTTGATGGCCTTGGGCTCTGAGACAGTGACTGAGCACTATCATATGGCCATGAATGTGCTCTCATGTTAATCATCACTCACCTCTGACACTCCTCTTTTGTTTTCCTATTCCACCCTTCCTCATATCCTCCCTCCAGGAGCCCTGGTGGTGCAGTGGTTAAGTGCTCATCTGCTAACCAAAAGCCCGGTGATTCGAACCCACCAGCCACTTTCTGGGAGAAAGATGTGGCAATCTGCTTCCTTAAAGATTAAAAAAAAAAAAAAAAATCTGTTGCCATCAAGTCAGTTCCGACTCATAGCAACCCTACAGGACAGAGTAGAATTGCCCTATAGCGTTTCCAAGGAGCGCCTGGTGGATTCAAACTGCCAATCTTTTGGTTAGCAGCCATAGCTCTTAACCACTACACCATCAGGGTTTCCCCCTAAAGACTACAGCCGTGGAAATCCTACGGGGCAGCTCTACTCTGTCCTATAGGATCACTATGAGTCGGAATCAACTCAACGGCAGTGGGTTTGATTTGTTTTGGCTTAACCTCCCTCCACATTGTTTTTCATGCTACTCTGCCCCCATTCACTTGTCTTTCCCCTCACTTTTCATAATCCAAAAACGGTCCTGCCACCTTTGCAGCACTCCTTTGGATCCAAAATTAAGGGAGTTGCTGACATATGTTACTAAAAAGGACAACACAGAATACTACCCTACTTTCCTTCTGCATTCATTTCTAAGTTTTTATAAATGGCTCTATAATGCCAAATAAACTTTCTCAGAGGTTGAGGACACAGAAGCTCACATTCTCAGGTTGTCCTGAGCAGCTCAAATATTTAAATGCTCACCGTCCACAGGCAGCTTCTTTATCAAATCTTTTCTTTCCGTTCCTGTGAGTTTCATTCCCATGTTTTCCAGAACAGTGTCCAGTTTATTGACATCAACAATCCCTCCTTGGGAAAAAGAGAGGAACATCAGCAAAAGTGAATAACCATAAAATGTGACAAGAGCTATGAACTACTGTGCATGATGGAGGTCCGTTTCACCAGGAAGAATAAGGTCCAATGAGGTAAGTTCAATTGTACAGAGACTATCAGTAATGAAGATGGAATTAGAATTTCTTCCCTGGAGACAGTTTTTGGGAACCAGTTTATATAATTAGCTTTTCAAGGTCGTTGTAATACTGCTAGACCATTTACAAAAACAGGGAAAACTAAAGTCACATACTGCTGCAGATAGGAAAGTTTTATTTTTTGTTTCCTGAATGAACTGATGGCTGTCTTTCCTCTGAGGAAATTTAGCAAATAATTTCTAATCATTCCTTTCACTTTTAAATTACAAAATACTACAGGGATACAAAACTGTTAGGATGATATCACTGACACCTGTTTATTCCAGTTTCAGGAATAAACACTGTAGATTAACAAAATATGCTCTGAATCTCTCCTCATCCCTATTCTTCTCTCATCTTCCCCAGGGGAACTCCTGTCATAAATATAGTGTTGATAACTCCCATGCATGTTTTCCATGCATATGTTAAATGGTTTTACATAATTTTAAGGTTTGTGTAACTCATAATATCATAATGTGAGGTTCTTTTTGCCACTTATGTTTTTCATTCAACATTTTTCTTTTTAATAACCGTCTCCGCTTCATTCATTTGAACTATTGTTTACTATTCGCATACGCAAAAAGCCTTCAACAAACGTGGAACATACACGCATAGGAATTCAACAAAATATCTGACCACCAAACTAATTGAGCAGATACTTTCGAAAGATCACAGCCACTGGAAACCCTATTGAGCGCAATTCAACTCTAAAATACATGGATTCACCATGAGTCAGCATCAACTTTATGGCAACTGGTTTGGTTTTTTTTTTTTTTTTTTTTAATGTTCAATTGCGTGCTCGAAAATGATATACACTTTGTAGTTACTGGATACAGGCTCCATGTACATACATTAGTTCAAGATTGTTAATCAGCCTGTTCAAATCTTCATTATCTTTACTGACTTTTGACTGGTTGTTTTATCAATTACTGAGAAAGTTACATTAAAATCATCGACTGTGATTATGTTTATCTATTCTCCCTGCACTTCAGTCATTTTCATGTTATTAGATGCATAGAAATTCAAACTGTTAATATCGTATTCAGGATTTTAAACATTTATTTATGTTCTTTACTCAGACTTCCTTCTCAGAACTTCTTTTTGAGGGGAGTATTTTTTCTTCTTCATAAGGTATATCCTTTTAAAATTACCTAGTGTGAGTATCTGTTGATTGTAAACACACTGAGTATTTTTTGTCTTAAATTTCTTATTTTTCTTTGTTTATCCTCATTTATAAAATATGATTTCAGTAACATGGTGAAAGCTATTTTTAATCAGAATTTTAAAGATATTATCCCAATATATTTTAACACTATTATTGTGGTACTAAGTCCAGTATCAGCCTGTTATTTGTAGGTACTCGGAATTGACTCTGGTTAAGAGATTCTCTGGTTAAGAGATTCTCTGGTTAAGAGAGCTTAATCTTTCTTTGTTGTGGTGTTCCGCAGCTTCCCTATAATATATCTAAACATAGATTTATTGTTGATTATCCTTTTTTGGATTCATTAAGGTTCCTGTATTTTAGGATTCAGGTCTTTTAACAACAATGAAAAATTATCAACTATTATGTGTTTAGGTTGGTATTTCCTTTCACTCTCTGTTTGCTCTTGGTGCTATCATTAGATAAATTTTTAGAGTTCACTCTCTCATGTCTCTTAACCCTTCTTTTTTTTAATATTCCATCTTTGTCTCTCTATGCTGCAATCTCAGTAATTTTTTAAGAGCTATATTCCTCTTCAACTTTGTCTACTCTGCTATTCAACGAATTCATCATGTTTTTAATTTTCCCGGCTAAACTTTTTATTGCTAGAAATCCTACTTGGGCCCTTTTCAAGTCCACATTTCCTTTTAAAATTATTTATATCCTTCTTTTATGCATTTAATCATCTAATGCATACTTATTTAAAGCATACTTATTTTATAGTCTATGTATAATACTGTCTATAGTACAATATACAATATTTTCATCATATGACGAGATTGGAGGTTGGTTGTTTCATAGTATATTGTGTCTACTCATATTCACTAAAGATGGATTTTTCATATTTTTTGTAATTTTGTATTTCAAGCTCATTTTAAGAAGAGTTTTATAGAAAAAATCTAGTGGAACACGATATGAGGGTGAGTTCTTTGCACACTAGAGTTATTACATTCTTGGTACTATTTGCTAATTTTTTGGCTTGTGGGTTCTTGGGTCATGCAAGAGGTCTAAATATGTCCTAGGACATAGGCCCATAGTCATGAATTTTCAAAGAAGACTTATCCTCCATGAACTCAGAATCCAAGACTATATAGATAATGTTTCTTTTCATCTACCTGTGCTAATAAGGTGTTTTTGTAGTTTACCATTTCACTAAGGGTGAAGCCATTCAAGGGTCCTGGCTTCATGTGAGTTTTCACTTAAATCTTAGGGTTAAAGAATGGTACAGGAGATTACTTGGTAAAATATATGCAAAAATGATCTTTAAAAAAACATTACTATGGTTTTATGCATAAATACACATATGTTGGTGGCAGGACTTTAAATTTAGAGAATGTAAAACAGAGAGATTTCAGATTCATCTGCTTTTTATCAAATTTCTCACTCACCTTTAAGGGCTTTCACACCATCCATCAGCCTATTGTTATACACCTCTCCATCAGCTGCAACAAAGACACAAATCAGGCCACACCAAAGAGAGATGAAGTAAGGCAATACCAAAACCTTAATTTCAGAAAGACAAACATCATAATTAACCCAGAAAAGGTTTAACTTATTTTCAAATAACAAAAGAAAAAAATGAAGTGGAGAATGTTCTGAATGCGGCTCCTTGGCCCCTAAGGGAACTATTACTGACATTCTACTATGCTGAAACATGCCTCTTACTCTTCTCTTTATTTCTCTATTTTTCCCTTCTAGTACTATCCATATCTCCCTGCTTAGTCTTGAGGATGCTGTCTCACTGGAATCAAAAATAAGACTAGGCAATTCTCTGTCCTGATACCAGGTCAGTGACTGAAGTGGTAGATGATTCTATAATTGAAATGACACAGATTACTTCTTAAGGTAAAACTGCACAATTCCTTCTAAAATCCCCTTTAAAAAAAGATGTCAAAGAAAAAAAAAAGATGTCAAATGGAGATAGTTATGTAAGTTCTCAATAAATAAACACAACTCTAAGTGCCTTAAAGGCTACATTGTTATTTTAAATGCTCACCATCAACTGGCAGATTTTTCTCTAGTTCCAAGCATTCCTTATCGGTGAGTTCTATCCCAATTTTTCCCAGAATATTTTCCATATCACTGATATTAACTTCTCCTCCTTCAACAGAAAGAAATGCGGGTAGATGAAAATTTTGCATGACTAAAAAACTTCAAAAGTATGAAAAAATAAAACAACAAAATCATGTGTCAGCAGCAGCATGAGACTTCTGAATACAGATATCACAAAAACAGAATCGTTCCCTTAACCTTAAAAAAGCAGCATCTATAATTATGGGGTAAGACAACACAAAACAAGATATAGGTGGTTCTTGAAATTTCCAAGTTATTTAAGATATCATAGATAGTTGGTCCAAATTCAGTATCTCCGTATTCTCTTAATTAAGAGTCTTGTGTCCTTAGTTTTATTTCATTATCTAATATGTTAATCCAGTGTGATGTGCATTTGTTTTTGAGAACATTTAATTCTATTACAGAAGATAAGTAAGTACATTAGTTCAAGTGTGTAGTGTGTCAAATATACACTAAAATTTTAAAGATGTGTTCAGTATGGATAAGTAGTTAGAAAGAAACGGACGGAAGGACCAAGTAATACCAAATATTCATAAGGCATTAAATATCCATGAGGTACTTGATCACTAAATATTCCTTATAAATAAATACATAAAAAGTTCTAAATTTTATGATATATTAAATATCTTGAAGGCAGCTGGGTGGTGCAAACGGTTAAGTGCTTGACTACTAGCCAAAAGGCTGACGGTTTGAAACAACCCAAAGTCACCTAGGAAGACAGGTCAGGCGATTTGCTTCCAAAAGGTTTAAGCCTTGAAAACTCTATGGAGCAGTTCTACTCTGCACACATGGGGTTGCCATGAGTTTGAATTGACTAGATGGCAACTAACACCAACAACAAATATCATTGAGGCACTTGCGGCACTAAAAATTAAGGAAAAAACTCATTGCCATCGAGTTGATTTCAACTCACAGTTACCTTATAGGACAGAGTAGAACTGCCCATAGGGTTTCCAAGGCTGTAAATCTTTACAGAAGCAGATTGCCACATCTTTCTCCAGCAGAGAGGCTGATGGATTCAAACCGCCTACCTTTCGTTTAGCAGACAAGTGCTTTACCACTGTGCCACCAGGGCTCCTTCAGTAAATATTCACAAGTCGTTAATTTGGTCATCCATTGGTGACACCCATTCTGGTTTTATGCATCCTCTGCCCAAGAAACCCCAAACTATGGCTCTTCAGCAGTCTTATATTGGCAAGCTACAACTATTAGCCAGGTGTACTTGTCCCTGTGTCTCTCTGAAAGAGCAAGTTTAGGTCATTGGTAAGAGCACCTTCCATCTGTGGGCCCCCTTGCCTGAACCTCAACTTCCTTCTGGTTCTTGTAACCACATCATCAGCAAGGGTAGCTAATGCAGCTGAGAGAGACACACAGAACATATGAACATTGTGTACCCAAGATTTGGAATTATGGTCCTTCCATATATTTGCACCCTACTCTAAATTTGTTAACTTGTCCCGTATTTTTTCTCTTGCTTCTTGCTATGTGTTTAAAATGACTTAATAAACTGTGGGTTTCCAACATCTAAACTTGATCTCGGAGCCTTTCTTTTCTGTGAACTCTGGGCTAGGTTGCCTGGTAGTATACTTGAAGGCTACCACTGTAGCAAGGCAATTTCCCTTCACAATACCCAGATTATCATTAATTTGAATATATGCATACTAAAGGATTGTTTTGGAATATACCTCAGTGAATAAACAATTTTCTATCAAGATATTACACTAAATAATCTAAATTTAGAATGTCCATATATCACTTAAACAAGGACTACTAAGAGTAAAAGAGGGTGTTAAAATAATTTTTGATTAATCTACAATAAGGCTTAACTATAACTGACAGAGAAAGCTAGGATGTAAAGTCACTGTCTCTGCAGTTAAACTCTAGGCCAGGAACCAGCCAATTTTTTCTGTAAAAACCAGATAGTAAATATTTTAAGCTTTACAGAACATGTGGTCCCTGCTGTTGTAGTATTAAAGCAGCCAAAAACAATACATAAGTAAAAGGGCATAGCTGTGTTCCAATAAAACTATTCATAAATTAGGCAGTGGATTTTTTGGCTCAAGGGCAAATGCCAATCCCTATTCTAGTCAATTACATAAAAATATTTTCTCAACAAAATGATAACATAGCAGAACAACAAGAAGGTGAAGTGATAGTTGGAAAAGAGCATTAAAATATAATTTAGTTTAAGAATAGGATCTTAGATTCACAGTAATTCTTCACTAACCTGTAACAGCTGTCACTGCATCCATCAATTTATTGAGCTCAACCATCCCGTTAGCTACAAGAAAAGCCAAAATAAGGTAACAACGTCAAAGACTCACATATAAAACAAACAAAAAGACTGTAAATTGGAAAATTATAGACCAATCAAATTCCATTAGTTTCATTTTTTTATCTGAGTAAACTATAAGCATATAAACCCTGGACATTCAATTTTACTCCACATTAGCTAAGGAAGTCTTTGTCCCTCAGGAAAACGAAATCTTGAATGTTGCTCTTGAATTTGTAGGATGCCTTTCTACCTTATAAGCATGGTAAAAAGTCTCAGTGATGCTGATTTGCCTATCAACTTCTCAGCTCTGGTCTAGGATATGTCAGATAATAGCTGATGGTGAAAACAGAAAGACCACCTTTCATATCTTCCCACCTTTCCTAATATACCTTTCTCTTGTTCCTTTGACCATCACAACTTCCCTGGAATTACAGATGATATAAACTGGTGATCTGTTTTTTCTATTAACACTATATGTGTTTGTAAAAATAGATAGGGATTTCTCCATAGCTTTAAAAGAAGGGAACAGTAGATATTTCAGATGGTCCCAATAATACAAAGAACTTGTAACACGATAACTAGATACAAAGAGGGTTCAATAGCGCATTGAAAGCTAATGGGTTAATCAAAATTCTAGAGTGATATATGTACAGATTTGGTCCCCTGTGTCCTAGGGCTTCATGAAGACTTTATATAACATTATTAGTTATAAAAGAAGGTAATGAGTCACAAAAAATCAGTAAACTGGGAAGAGTAGCATGTCTTTCTTATTGGGCATCAGGGTGGAGTTAGAATGGTTCTGGGAAGAATTTTAAGTGAGTAAGGGGTAGGGAGAAGGCCAATTTGTACCTTTGTATTGAGTATTAACAAGTATGCCCCTCTGTGTGATTGAAATTGGCCAGGATGCAGCTGGTTATTAAAAAGTGAATATACCTTTTGCCATGCCCTCTTTGGAAAACGGAAAACTGCATGTGGGATGACTAGGAAACTGTCCATCTGATTTGGTAACATTTAATGTTTTGGACTCTTCTGGTTGTACACAGCTCAACTGGAGTACTGGAGGCCCAGCATAGATTTGAGATTCCTCTTAATGGCTTTATGTCACTTTCCATTATAGGTTTTTATTTGTTTGTTTGTCATCTATATTTCATTTATTTTGTTTGTTCTCTCTGATCATTACATCTTTCCACACATCCTTCAAATATGTATTGCATATCTCGAAGATGAGGAAAGTCAGGCAATACAAAATGATGTAGGCCTAGTTTTTGCTTTTAACAAGATTACAGTTTATAGACAAGGAAGAGCGATATAAAGACACTTCTCACAATATGGCAAGAGTAATGATATATGCATGCATAAGATAAACTTAAAACTAAGAGGAAGAGTAAATAAAGTGCCTTCAGTGGGTCACGGAAGCTTGGAAAATATAAACTTTGAGATTAGATTAGCTTTCATTACAATTATGAATTGGCAAGATTAAATATCCTATGTATGTCTATTCTAGGAGTTGGGGAGTGTGTGGAATAGGATAATTAAATAATCAAATTAGATGCTATAGCATAAACATTAGATAACAAAGAGGATCTATATATTTATTGGTTGAAGAAAATTATATGAAGCATCTACTAAATTTCAAGCACCATACAAGGCACTAGAAGGGATAAAAATGTACTTAATACTAAGCTTAATACAATCCCTGTCCTTAAGTAACTCAGTCTCTGGGGTGAGAAGGACAAATATACTTATTGTAATAAAGTGATTGGGCTGAAACAAAGCAGAGTAAAATCAAGAAACCTTTCTGCTAAAATTTATCTATTTATAATCACTGCTTTGCAATGGATCTAGGAGCATCCTGGATAAGAGACTTGAACCCTGTCTATATCCAGTACTATGGTTCAGATATTTCAGTGTTGCTGGAGGGCAACGTGGAGAGATGGAATGGTGACAGATGAAGTTGGAAGGCAGGCAGAGGCCAGATCACAGAGGGCCTTGTAGGCCATGTTAGAGTGCTGGGGTATTTTGCAGTGGGTTAAGTCACTGAATAATATTAGCAAAAACTTACAAGAAAGATTTGTATTTTAGAAAGGTCATTCTTAAAACTCAGGGAAAGATGGATTTTATTCAAAATAGTCTAAAAACAGAGATGATGTGGACGCCTCTGCATTAACCCAAGTCATGGGTGATAATCACCTGCAACATGGTTAAAAGCAGCAGATAGAGAAAAGTAAGGATGGATTTATGAAACAGTCATCAGGTATAATTGGTGAGACCTGGTATCAAAGGGATTGGTGCTAAGGAAGAGGCTAGAGTGAAAAATGATGCCAATTTTTAAACTTGTTTATTAGGAACATGATGGTGCCACCAGCTGAGAGAGAAAATGTAGAATCAGGAGACAGTTTGTGGTAGATATTTTTAAATACAGTGACTTGAGATATAAAGATCTGAGGCTTTGCCAAACAGAAATGATCAACAAGAGTCTCGTTTTACCAGTCCATGTTTGGGGAGAAGTCTGGGCTAGAGATAAAGATCTAGGTGTCTTCAGAATATAAATGACAGTTGAAATCATAAGTGTAGACAATACTGTCCACAGAGAATTGTAAAAAAATGAAATGGTTAATGGGCTTAGGATACAACTACTTGACAGATACCTTCTTAGTGGGACAATTAGTCATTTTTTCTCACTCCCTCTCTATTCTCCAAACCTGTAACTTTTATTCTGCTCCCTGTAAATTCATTCCTTGGTCAGAAAGTAGTCACAGTAGTTTTGTGTGTAATGCTTAGAATACAGAGGAAAGAGGCTAATGATTCTGGACTCATGAAAAAGAAAAGAACTTGTATTCACATTAGCACTAGTTTCTTCTCTTAGCTTTGCAAAATGCTTTTTTTGATGCCAGGTAAAACCAGTTATAGGAAATCTCATATAGAATTACATAAACTTTCTTCTAAAGCACAGTAGTAGTTATAATACTCACCACTAAGTGGCAGATTTTCTGTTAGACTTTCATGTTCCTTTTGTGTGAGCTTGATCCCGAGGTTTCCCAGGACAGTGTCCAGGTTATTGGCATTAACCTTCCCCCCTTGGGAATGATACAGGGATGGAACATGAGGAAAAAAATGAGTTGAAGTATTAAAAATAGATTTTTGCATGTGAATTATTATCTGAATATATATACTTTACCATTACTATCCTAAAGACAAAAGAGAAGATGCACCTATGTGATTATTATGATAATAATCACATGTCCATTAAATAATCCATAGAAAATTCAGAATTAGAACCTGTTCCCTTAAATCTTAACTTGGGTATATGCCTGCACTGTAAATAGTTCCTGAAGGGATAGGCTACAGGGTTTAATTACAATCAATTTCATAGGGAATACAAAGGGGTTTTGCTACCAGAGATCTCAATTGTTAATACATCATGATAGAGTGAAGATTATAAGATAACCTTAAAAATATAAGCAGAATTTCATTACTTTTAGGTTTTTTTTTTTTTTTTGAGGTGAAATTCACATAACATAAAATTAACCATTTAAAATGAACAATTCAGTAGCATTTAGTACATTCACAATGTTGTGTAACCTTCACCTCTATTTCCAAAACATTTTAACCATGCCAAAAGAAAACCCTGTGCCCATTAAGTAGTTACTTCCCATTCCTCCCTCTACCAAGCTCTTGGCAACTACCACTCTGTTTTCTGTCTTCTTGGATTTACCTATTTGGGATACTTAATATAAATGGAATCATATACTATGTGATCTTTTGTCTGGCTTCTATCATTTAGAATAATGTTTTCAAGGTTCATCCACATTGTAACATGTATCAGTACTTCATTCCTTTTTTTTTTTTTTTGGTTGAATAATATTCCATCATATCTACATACCACAATTTGTTTCTCCTTTAATCTGTTGATGGACATTTGTGTTGTTTCCACCTTTTGGCTCTCGTGAATAATGCCTCTGTCTGGTTGTTCTATCCATTATTTAAATGGGATCTCATTTTTTTATTAGCTATACTGCCACCACCCAGGTGAGAGCTATCATTATCCCTTACTTCTATTACTGCAGTAACCTCTTGTTTCTTACTTCCATTCTTATATTCTACAGTCTATTTCACATTAGGACCAGAGCTGATCCTTTTAAAATTTAATTCAGATAATGTCACTCTTTTGCTTAAAGTTCTGTAATTAATCCTCCTTTCATAGACAGCAAAAGCCAGAATGCTGGAACTCTTCACAAGGTCCTCCATGATCTGGCTTCCATTTACCTTTAACGTCCTCTCCTTCCTCCCTTGGTCACTCTAATCATCTGAGCCTTCTGGCTGTTATCAGAGACTTTAGGAATACTCTGCTGACCTTTCCTCTCTCCCTTGATCACTCCAATCATATAGACCTCCTGATGGCTATCAGAGACTCTAAGAATACTCTTTTTTTTTAAATTTTATTATTTTATCGTCGTAGTTTAAATGAAGTTTACATTTCAAGTTAGTCTCCCATACAAAAATTTATACACATATTGTTATATGACCCTAATTGCTCTCCCCATACTGTGACAGCACACTCCTCGTTTCCACCCGATTCCCCATGTCCATTCAACCAGCTCTTAACCCTCTCCACCTTCTCATCTCACCTCTAGAGAGAAGCTGCCCATTTAGTCTCTTGTATGTACCTGAGCTAAGAGCTAAGAGCTATGAGTATCAATTTATGTCCCACAGTTCAGTCCAATCCGTCTGAAGAGTTGGCCTCAGAAATTGTTTTAGTTCTGGGCTGATTGAGAATATGGGAGCCATGCTTTACGGGGTTCCTCCAGTTTCGGTCAGACAATTAAGTCTGGTCTTCTTGCTAGAATTTGAGTTCTGCACCCCACCTTTCTCCTGCTCCATCGGGGACTCTCTGTTGTGTTCCCTGTCAGGGCGGTCATTGGTGGTAGCCGGGCACCCTCTAGGTCTTCTGGTCTCAGGCAGATGAAGTCTCTGGTTTATGTGGCCCTTTCTGTCTCTTGGGCTACTACTTCCCTTGTGTCTTTGGTGTTCTTCATTCTCCTTTACTCCAGGTGGTTGGGACCAATTCATGCATCTTAGATGGCCGCTTGCAAGCTTTTAAGACCCCAGATGCCACTCACCAAAGTAGGATGCAGAACATTTTCTTAATAAGCTTTGTTATGCCAATTGACCTAGACGTCCACTGAAAGCATGGTCCCCAGATCCTTAGCCCTGCCACTCCGTCCCTCAAAGTGTTTGACTGTATTCAGGAAACTTCTTAGCTTTGGTTTAGTCCAGTAGTGCTGGCTTCCCCTGTAGTGTGTGCTGTCCTTCCCTTCACCTAATACTTGTCTACTATCTAGTTAGTGAATAACCCTCACCCTCCCTCCCCACCCTCATAACCATCAAAGAATGTTTTCTTCTGTGTTTAAACCTTTTCTTGAGTTCTTATAATAGTGATCTTATACAATATTTGTCCTTCTGTGACAGACTAAATTCACTCAGCATAATGCCCTCCAGATTCCTCCATGCTATAAGATGTTTCACGGCTTCATCGTTGTTCTTTATCGTTGCATAGTATTCCATTGTGTGGATATACTATAATTTGTTTATCCATTTGTCCGTTGATGGGCACCTAGGTTGTTTCCATCCTTTTGCTGTTGTGAACAGTGCTGCAACGAACATGGGTGTGCATATATCTATTTGTGTGATGCCTCTTATTTCTCTAGGACATATTCCAAGCAGCGGGATAGCTGGATCGTATGGTACTTCTATTTCTAGCTTTTTAAAGAAGCGTCAAATCAATTTCCAAAGTGGCTGTACCATTTTACATTCCTACCAACAGTGTATAAGTGTTCCAGTCTCTCCACAACCTCTCCAGCATTTATTATTTTGTGTTTTTTGGATTAATGCTAGCCTTGTTGGGGTGAGATGATTTCTTATTGTAGTTTTGATCTACATTTCTCTAATGGCTAATGATTGTGAGCATTTCTTCATGTGTCTGTTAGCTGCTTGAATATCTTCTTTGGCAAAGTGCCCGTTCATACCATTTGCCCATTTTTTAGTTGGATTATTTGTCTTTTTGTTGTGGAGGTTTTGCAGTATCTTGTAGATTTTAGAGATTAGACGCTGATCGGATTTGTTGTAGTCAAAATTTTTTTCCCAGTCTGTAGGTTGTCTTTTTACTGTTTTGGTGAAGTCTTCTGATGAGCGTTAAGTGTTTGATTTTTAGGAGCTCCCAGTTACTCCCAGTCTCTCTTCTGGTGCTTGTGCATTGTTACTTATGGTTCGTATTGTGTTTATGCCATGTGTTAGGGTTCCTAGCGTTGTCCCTATTTTTTCTTCCATGATCTTTATCGTTTTAGATTTTATATTTAAGTCTTTCATCCATTTTGAGTTAGTTTTTGTGCATGGTGTGAGGTATGCCAGCACCATTTGTTAAAAGAGACTGTCTTTTCCCCAATTAACAGACTTTGGGCCTTTGTCAAATATCAGCTGCTCATAGGTGAGTGAATTTATGTCTGGATTCTCAATTCTGTTCCATTGCTCTATGTATCTGTTTTTGTACCAGTACCAGGCTGTTTTGACTACTGTGGCAGTATAACAGGTTCTAAAATCAGGTAGTCCGAGTCCTCCCACTTTGTTCTTCTTCTTGAGTAATGCTTTACTTATTCAGGGCCTCTTCCCTTTCCAGGAATACTCCTGACTTAAGGCATTTGCAGTGGCTATTCCTCCTCTCATAATATTCTTCCTAGATATGTGCCAGAAATTTGTTTGAGAGATTTACGTATGTTACCTATTTAATCCTCACAGAAACCCCAGGAGCTGGGTATTAATATCATCCTAATTTTACAGATAAGAAAGCTGAGATCCTGAGGTATTAAATAACTTAACCAAGTTCACATAGCTAAATCCCTCTTCTCCCTGAAGTTTTGCTTAACAGCCACCTTCTGAAAGACATCTACCTTGACCCTTCTCCCCTGTCCCACCCCATCTCAAGGTATGCTATTTTTTCTATAGCATGTATCATATTTGGACATATTGCAAATTTTAATTATTTATTATTTTTAATTGTCTTTTTCCCCTATCCTCAACTAGAATGCAAGTGATGTGAAAGTAGGGCTTTTGCCTGTTTTAATTTAATTCACAGTACCAGTGAATAACACTGATATAGTCCAATGCCTAGAAGAGTGTCTGGCACATAGTGGGCTCTTAAATATTTGATGGATGAATAAATGAATGACCATATTTTTGTTATTAGTAAATAGGAATATAGGGTTAGAACTATAAATCACTAAGAGTGATATCAAATTAGCTGGAGACAGATTAGCTGTTTGAAGCAAAACTTTTTGTATAAAGAATATTAATAATAATGTTTAGCTTACTATGTGCAAGAAATTTCTCTGAGATTTATCCAAAAATCAAACCTGTTGCCGTTGAGTCGATTCCGACTCATAAGGACCTATAGGACAGGGTAGAATGGCCCTTTAGGGGTTTCCAAGGAGCAGCTGGTAGATTTGAACCACCAACCTTTTGGTTAGCAGCTAAGCTCTTTAACCACTGCACCACCAGGGATCCTTGAGATTTATACATCTTATTTAATCTTCACAACAATCCTAGGAGGTAGGTATTAATATCATCCCCATTTACAGATGACAAAACTGAGATCCTGAGATAGCAAATAACAAAGTGCACATGGCTAGTATGTAGCAGAGCCAGGGTTCAGCCTGGTACACTGGCTTCAAAGCCAACACTTAGTTACCAGTCTACAGCTGCCTCATTAACTAAAAATTATCTGTCAAAATCAGAGCCTAGAGTATAAGAAAGCCAGGCAGATTTTCACCATGAGACAATGGGAAAATCAGACTGACATCTGGATTGATAATTCAAATTTCCAACATCACTGCCCACCATTCACAAATATACATAATTTAAAGAAATAACGCTTAGGCTGCACTGCTCTAAAATGGGGTAGCACTATTTTGACAACATTCAACACAAAATTCTGCAAGCAATGTTCCTGACTGCCACTTTTCCAAACAGCCTAGATGTGTCCAGAGGCAGAATTCTACCTGCAGGAGACACATTTCCTCAAGTTCCAAGGGCTAAGGCTTATCATTCTTTCCCATTCCCCCTTCTCCCATCTCTTCTCTTGTTCCAAGAGCTGGAAGCAGGAAGTAGAAGCAGAAAGTAGCTTTTAGCAACAAGCTTGTGTCTTTCCCCTGCATTTCTGATTTTTTTTTTTTATTAACTTGCCTTCAGTAAACAGAATATATTGAAGCACAAATATTAAAAACCTTCATTAGTGGATTGAAATTCTGTTCAAAGTCAGCCATAATCTTCCTACAGAATAAAACATACAAACAACAACAACAACAATAAAAAAACAGACCTGTTGTCCTTGAACTGATTCCGATTCATGGCAACTTCATGTATTACAAAGTAAAACTACTCCATAAGGTTTTCTTGACTATAATTTTTATGGAAGCACGTTGCCAGGCCTTTCTTCCATGAGCTGCCCTTAAATAAGTCCCTGAAAATGTGGTGATCATTTTCTTTATAATTTGCTGTGTATAATTTTTAGATTCTTTGGGTTATGAATATGGATTCCCTGGAAAGATCTATTGAGACATTACAGTATAAAATATTAGTGTGATGAAAGTAAATAAGGAATTTATACATAGGAAAGTAGACAGGACTCATAAACTAAATGATATGTGAATCTTGAAGATTTCAAACTTTTCTGTTTTTCTTATCAGGCTTTTAACTTACCTTTGATAGATTTCACGCCATCTAACACTCTCTTCTGAAACACATTTCCGGCAGCTATAAAAAAAGGAACCACTCATGTCAGAAAGAAAATGAGGTGAACGTGCATTCAGTTATTCTATAACTTCAGTAAGACAAATATTTATAGTTAGGTGAAAAATGTGTTCTATCTAACCATTAAAGTAAAAAATGGAGTTATGGGAAAGGAAAGCTGTTTAAGTATAACAAATCTATGCATTTTTTTTTGTCAACTGAGGAGACTGGCAGCTGAGGGAAGACACTATTATTTTGAAACATTCATCTTTCATTTCCTTTTTCTTCTGGCTTCTCCTTTTTCTTTCATTTACTAGTTTTTCACTCCCCACAGTTTCCTTCCTTTTAGTTCTTAGGATTAGGCCAATCAGTTGTCTGAATAGGCAATGTTGATATTTACTTAGTTCTGATGGCAAAGCTTATGGCAATGGGTTTGGTAAATCATACATTAAATCTAAATGATAGTGCCCTTATTTTTCTAATAATTGTCAGTACCATTTATCAGAATCTAAACAGGTAAAATTTTAAAAACTGTTTATGCAAGCCTATAAAATCAAGCTTCCTAGAAGGCCTCAGTGGCATTTGCATAGCTCACCATCAACTGGCAGAGTTTCCTGCAGCTTTATGAGTTCCTTGTCTGTGAGCTCAATCCCCATGTTTCCCAGAACATTCTCCAGGTCACTGGAATGAATCTTTTTCCCTTTGACAATAAAAGAATATTAATATTTGGGAATATATGGAACTATCTAATCACCCTAAAAAATGGTGAGAAATTCATTTTTGCCAATAATATATCATCCTCTATGTGAGGAAATGTAAAAACAAAATGAAACACATTTAACTACACAGAAATATGGGGGAATCACAAAAAAGAACCTGTCCCTTAATACTTATAAAAGGAAGGCTCTCTTATTGCAAGGCACAATTCTGACCAACAGATAGTAAAAATTTTTTTTCAAAATTGGCCAGTGAATTAAGATAACAGAGATGGGAAATTCATATATTCTGTCATCATTTACTGTACTTATTATCCTTTTGGTCTGAATAACATGATTTTCTCTTCATGACAACAGTGTGATTCTACCAGGGCTTTATTTTTCCATTTACTGTGCAAATCTTTTTTATGATCCTTAAAAAATTAAGTGAACCTTGTTACTTTTTAATTCAAATTTTGATGTCAACATAGAGAATTTTAATTGAATTAGTAAATCCTAAATGATGTATAACCAAATTATGGCAAGTGATTTTCCAGAAAAAGGTAAAAAGCCAAAATGTCATCTCTATATAAATATTGATGTGAACCCTGGTGGTGCTGTGGTTAAAGTGCTTGGCTGCTAATTCGAAAGGTCTGCAGTTCAAACCCACCAGCCGCTCCACGGGAAAAAGATGTGGCAGTCTGCTTCTGTAAAGATTTACAGCTTTGAAAACCCTATGAGGCAGTTCTATTCTGTCCTATAGGGTTGCTATGATTTGCAATCAACTCGACAGCAGTGGGTTTTGGTTTTATACGTATACTGAGAACATAAAGTGTAAATATAGAGGTCTCAATTTAAAAGTAATCTCTTATTGAGTGATGGGTGTCAGCAAAAATAGCAGAGTAGGAAGCTCCAAAAACCTCTCCCTCCACAGAAACACCAAAAAAAGAGAACAAAAAATATCAGAATTAACTCTGTTGGGACTCTGGAAAATAGTCAAAGATTTAAAGCAACCAAGCAAACACTGAATCAAGAAAAAAGTGACAAACACAGTGGCATTTTAGCCTAGCCTTGTTCCATTACCCTGCCCAATAAAGTGGTAGTTTTGAAGACTACCCACACTCCTGGCTGTGGGTATCTAGCTCCAGAGGGAGCAGAGAGGACTCACTTTCTAGGAATTGTGTTTGTCTGTTTTGACCTGCCTGGAGACTTCCTGAAGGAATGACACAAAGTTCTGGCCTCTGTTTCACCTAATTAGGAACTCTTTCAGGGCAGAAAAATGGCTGCTATGTGAAGGGTGTTCCTCAAATTTTCCATTGAAAGGCAAATGATGCCGCTTAGGGCAAAGATGACGACAGTAGGAGTAAATAATAGGCATACAGAGAACCTGGAAGGAAAAGCTAGGGCAGAGTTCCTTTGGGAAATAAAGGCTTTAACAAAACTCCCACAAATAACAGAGACTCTAGAAAGCCACATATATGCCCAAGACAGGGCGCATACTCAGAAAAGACCAAAGAAGACCCTAAGTCTTTCACTTGATGTTTAGCCTTAATGAAAGCAGAAAGTGAAAGCTAAGGCAGAATTGTAAATGGCCATACTAAGCATTGAAGGAGTGCCCCAACACAAAGCTAATCTACAAGGACAAGGAGAGTATTTTCTTTCCTTTACTTGTTTCTTTTTTAAACATAATATTCCAAATAACTAATTTTTAAAAAAAAAAAAAAAGAAATAGGAGACATGCAAAGAAACAAGAAAGTGTGACTCATTAATAGAAAAAAGAAAGAAAGAAATTAACAGAAACTGTCCCTGAGGAAGCACAGACATTGGACTTACTAGACAAAGACTTTAAATCAACTGTCTCAAATATTCTCCAAGAGCTAAAGGAAATCATGGACAAAGAACTAAAGGAAACCAGGATAATGATGTTTCAACAAATAGAGAATATTAATAAAGACATAAGAATCATAAAAACGACCAAAGTAGAAATTCTGGAGCTGAAGAGGTAATTGAAATTAAAAACTCACTGAGCTGGAAGAAGAAAAATTCACTGAACTTAAAGATAGGTCAATTAATACTATACACTCTTAACAGCAGAAAGAAAAAAGAATGAAGAAAAATGAACAGAGCCTAAGAAACCTGTGGGACACCATCAAGCATACTAATATAAGCATAATAGGAAACCCAGAAGGAGAAGAGAGAAAGAAACAGAAAGAATATTTGAAGACATAACGGTTGAAAACTTCCCAAAGATTTTCAAAAAAAAAGAATTTCAGATTTAAGAAGAGCAGTGACCTCAAGTAGGATAAACCCAAAGAGATTAGAAATACCATAATCAATCTGTCAAAAGCCCAAAACAGAATGAATCTTAAAAGTAGCAAGAGAAAAGCAACTTGTTATGTACAAGGGATCCTCAACACAATTAACAGCTAATTTCTCATCAGAAACCATGAAGGCAGTGGGATTATATGTTCAAAGTGCTGAAAGAAAAATAAACCTTTCAACCAAAAATTCTATATTCATCAAAACTATCCTTTAAAATATGAAAGAGAAATTAAGACATTCCCAAAGAAACAAAAGCTGAGAGATTCCATCACTAATAGACATCCCCTACAAGAGATGGTAAAGGGAGTTCTCAGCCTATAATGAAAGGACAATAGACAGTAACTAAAAACCATATGAAGAAATATAGAACACCAGCAAAGGTAACTACATAGGTAAATATAAAAGCTAGTATTACTATATTTTTGGTTTATAACTCCTCTTTCTTCCTAGATGATTTAAAATAAAAATGTATAAAACAATATAAATCTATGTTAATGGACATAAAATGTATAAAGATGTAATTTGTGAAAATAACAACAGTGAAGGGTAGAGACAGAGCTGTATAGGCACAGATATTTTGTATATGACTAAAGCTAAGTTTTTATTAATTCAAACTAGACTGCTACAAGTTTAAGATGTTAAGTGTAATCCCCAGGGTAACAAATATGAAAACAACTAAAAAATATACAGAAAAGGAAATGAAAAGGGAATCATAACAGTACACTATAAAAAATAAACACAAAAGAAGAACAAAATGGAGGATTTGAGGAAAAAAAAGATACAAGACATATAAGAAACAAACAGCAAAATGACAGAAGTTCTTCCTTATCAGTAATTACGTTAAATGTAAATGGATTAAATTCCCCAATTGAAAGGCAGAGATTGGCAGAATAAATAAAAAAAACATAATCCAAATATATGTCGTATAGAAGAGACACATTTTAGATACAAAAACACAAATAGGTTTAAAGTGAAAGAATGGAAAAAGATATTCCATGCAAATAGTAACCAGAAGAGAGCTGTGGTGGTTATACTAATATCAGACAAAATAAACTTTAAGTCAAAATTGTTATAAAAGACAAAGAGGGACATTATACACTGATTGAAATCAAACGAAGTATCTTCTCTGTCCACAACGGAGTGAAACTAGAAATCAGTAACAAGAAAAACTGGGTTATTCAAAAAAAAGTAAAAATTAAACAACACACTTTTTTTTTTAATTCAAGAAAAATTTGCACAAACAATTCATCCCACAGGAGAAACTTCAGATCCCAGATGTTTAACATGTTTGCTTCAGATATTAGAGTTCATGATCTTTTGTGCTTGTTAAACCAAAAAATGTCAGACCATAGAAATGATTTTTAACAAGTAGGAGTGCTGCAAGTGCAAGATCAGGCTGAATTCCGGACAATTTCACCAACACTTTCTTTCAGTTGATTCCAACTCATACTGACCCCATATGTTCTTTTTTATTTTTTAAAAATTATGGTTTATGGGAAAGTTTACAGAGCAAATTAGTTTCTCATTAAACAATTAATACACATATTGTTTTGTGACATTGGTTGCCAGCCTTGTGATATGTCAACACTCTCCCCTTCTCGACCTTGGGTTCCACATTTTCATTCGCCCAGCTTTCCTGTCCTCTCCTGCCTTCTTGTCCTTGCCCCTGGGCTGGTGTGCCCATTTTGTCCTATATACATGGTTGAACTACATGTGTTATTGTTTGTTTTATAGGCCTGTCTAACCTTTGGCTGAAGGGTGAGCCTCAGCAGTGACTTCAGTACTGAGTTAAAAGGATGTCCGGTGGCCATACTCTTGGGGTTTCTCCAGTCTCTGTCAGACCAGTAAGTCTGGTCTTTTTTTGTGAGTTAGAATTGTCTACATTTTCCTCTAGCTCTGTCAGGGGCTCTTGTCAGAGCAGTTGGTGGTGTTAGCTGGGCACTGTCTAGTTGTTCTGGGCTCAGTCTGGTGGAGGCTGTGGTAGTTGTAGTCCAAGGCAACACACTCTTAAACAACCAATAGGTCAAAGAAGAAATCACAAGAGAAATTAGAAAACACTTTGAGACAAATGAAAAATACATGAAACCTGTGATAGCCAGAACTTAATGAGACTGCCTTGTTCTTCCAGGTCTTGCAAGTTTTCTGCCTTTGACAGGGTGCAGTCTTACCACTTTTCTACTGCATGTTTTAGTGGAAAATATTTGAGTTTTCCTTCTCTTACAGGTTTCTGCCTTACATAGGTTCCAATTTTCACAAGTTCTACTATAGTAAGTTAGTTAGCCTATCTTGAGACCTGGTCCTAGCAGATACCTTCTAGAACTGGTGTTCTCCAAACTATTTCTGATCATCAATCTCTGTCAGTAAAACGTTTTTAAGCAGAAAAAACAAATCTCTTTTTTACCTGTAAAAGCTTTCATTCCATCCATAAGCTTTTTCATTTCAATCTTCCCATGAACTATAAGCAAACAAATCAATACACAAATGACATTCACTCAGAAATGTGAAAGCGGCAAGAAATGCAGTAGCATTTATTGACTATAGAATTTTATTCTACCCATGAGTACAAAGTACCTAAGTGAAAAGCATTCTACTTATTATAAATATGCCTGTTTCAACAACGTGCTTAGATCCATTGTCAGATAGGAAAACAAACCCCTGATAATAAAGGTGTGAGACCCACCCAAAAGTTGCCTCTTTTCATAGGATCAGCTTTTTAGTTCTTAGACAGTAGAGAACCAACTATTATTTTGATTAGGCTAAAAAGAACAAAATTTAAAATTAACAAAATGTTTTAATTGGATTGTTGAAACTGTCTTTTTAATTACTGAGATCCCAGTTACTATTTCCCTTTCATTTTCACTGACTTTGGCAGACTAGGTTATTCCTGATTTAAATGAGTAGAATAGTCATCATTTTGAGATCAACCTTCCAATTCTAATGATTGGCATATTTTTCATAGCAGATATGCAATAGAACTCTATAAAAATCATATTTAAAGGACATTAACATGGAAATAAAATAACGGAATTGTCTCACAAATAGATGATCTAGATAGTATATATATTATATTTTACCAAGGAAAAAAAGACCTAAAAATTGTCACTATTGTTAAGCTACTTAAAAAATTCATGGTATTTGTCAAATTTTAAGTAACAAATTATAAACATTATGTAAAAACTTCTATACATAAAAATTTACATATGAATGTCCCAAATAATGCAACAAATATTTACTGAGAATCTATCATGTATTATAAGAGTGACCAGGAAAAAAAATATAAGTTGTTCATATAGTTGCTAAATCTAGGCTAAAAGAATATTTATTTTTCTGTGTCTTCTGGATCTACTGAGGCAGAATATTTGCAAAGTTATTTTTATAGTAAAACTGACTAGGTCAGGAAATAGTGAAAAACATGCATTCGTTCTACTGGGCCACTAGCAATTCTCAGAAACAAAGATGAAAGGTCCTAATAGGTTTAGGGATAGCTATTTAATCTGAGTATATGCTTCCTTGGGTTATATTTCAGCTAAATCTTGCCCTCACCAATATATTCACATCTACATGCTGACAAACACATTACCAGAAAAGCTTTGACTTAAATGTGAAGTTCAAGGTCTTTCTGTCCCAAGAGATGTAATTAAGGCTTTAAGGCTGAGCCTTAGTTAGTCTTTCATGAAGCTTCATTTCATGCTCAATCCCAATGTTAATTCCTCAGATGACCAAACCACCAATAAACACTAATTAAAATTTTTGAACTCTGATTTAAAAGAAAAAAAGGCTTAATCATTCCACAATGTCCATTTTATTTCATGTATACCTTTTTATTTAACAATCTTTTTCATTTGCCTTTGTTGATCCTAAATTATTGTTATTTTAAATGAGGAACAGGAATTGATGGCAAGACTAGAAAATAGTCCCAAATAATAGCTATAGTTTTTGCTCATAATTCTGCTCATTTTAGCAATATGAAAAAAAAAATACCAGCTCCATAATAACTTCAGATAGAACTTTTGAGCTAAAAAATAGTTTTCTAGTATGAAAACTGGTGGTTCCACATCTAGATTCACTTTCCCTAATGGTTACAGCATTGCAAGCAAAGAAAATAAGACAATGAAGACCACCTGCATATTCTTTCTGGTAGATTGAAAGTACTGAAAATTGGAAAATAAATTCACAAAAATATATTTTAGGCAACAGTGCCTATCCTACTCAATGATGGAACTACATGTCACCCTAATGAACAAGTATTGATTTGTCCAAGGTTGTAAGATGGTCAGGGAATGTTTCAAACACACACTTCTTAGCCCCAGTGGAATGTTTCCAGGTTAATATCTTTAACTTTTTCTTATTTGGTTTGGGTTTTAGTTTAACCCTAAATCATTTATGAAATTTTAGAGTTTGTCTCTCACACCTCAGGGGGATTAGAAGCCTGGGGACATAGACTTGGGATCATGGAATCTGGCTCAGGAATGTGAGAATGTAGGCAGAAGCAAAAGCAGGGAGCCTAGGCATTGAGGCATTCCATACATTCAGGTCTGATGTTTTGTTTTTTGCATAATTTCTCACTTTGGCCATACTATCTTTTCTCTCTAATGTCTTTCAATTTTCCTATGTTAAAGTTTCTTCTATTCTGTGTGTCCTCTTCCCTACCCAATGGCTGTCTATCTCGAATTCTGTCCAGATCTAATAGTGGCCCTGGCCATACTCGAAGCTGAAATAAAATTTCTGAAGATGTCAAGAGACAAATATTTTTACTTGTCTTCTGAGATATCTTTAATATTTTCTGTCTTATTAAAGACAAATAAGAGTTTTCAGACACTCTTTTATAGAAGCCCATGTTCTTGGGATGTCCTGAGCAGTTCAAATATATCTTAAATGCTTACCATCAACTGGCAGATTGTGTGTCAAATCACTAATTTCATTTTCTGCAAGGTTCATTCCCATGTTTTGCAAAAGAGGCTCCACTTTAGTGGCATCAATAATCCCTCCTTGGAAAAAAGAGAAGACTATGAGAAATATGCCTACATATTTCTTCACCATGCAGAGGTTTTATCTTGGCATAATGGGAGTAAGCAAGTACACGTGATAAGCCCTCTGACCACCTAAATAGTTTATAAACCCTAAGAAATCAATCTTTTCACTAGGGAATATGGTACACAGCAAATGGAGGATGAACACAAAACAAAATACAACCTACGAACACCCTACTAGTATAAGTCACACACAAAAGGCATCCTGATAAAGAATGGCCAGATCTGGGGAAGAAAATCCATGTGTGTGCGCAGTGGCAAAATCTACCTATATTAAAATGTTATAAAGCTGCAATATTTAATACAATTCCATATTAGTTCATGAATAAAGAGACCAATGGAACAGAATATAAATTCCAAAAGTAGACAAGTTCACATGGAAATCAAGTAGATAATAGGATGACATCTTGAATTGAGGGGAGGGATGACAGACTTTTAAATAAATAATTTCGGAACAACTATATAGTCATTCTCATAAAATAAAATTAAATCTGTGTTTTCTGATGGAATGTAGTATGAACTACACAGAATCATCTATGAAGTGTTCTTGCCAAAAAATATTGGACTTGAAAATAATTAAGCTGTTAGAGCTAACTTCTAGTTTAAAGGAAATACAGAGGAGAGTAACAAGATATACGGGAAAATAAAAAAAATTCAGAAAATGGGAAATTCTACAGGACAACTTGAATCTGAAACAGTTTCTTTAATAAGCCAATGGACTGATAAAAGAGGGAGAAAGGAGGACTGTAGATTAAATAAGATTTAAGTATCATAACATATGCAGTTTGTGAACCTTGTTTGGTTTTTATTTCAAAAATTATAAAAAATATTTTAGAGATAACTGGGGAAACCTGAATCTACACAAGACACCCAATGATACCAAGGGATTATTTTAAACCTTATTGTATGATAATGGCATTACGGTTATATAAAAATGGTCCACGTTCTGAAGAGATGCATACTTAAGTATGCAGAAATGGAATTTGTTTTAACTATTTCAAAGAAAAGGGAGGGGGGAGAAGAAGAAGTAAGTGTGGCAAAATCTTCATAATTATTAAACCTGGGTGTTAAGTATATGTGGGTTCATTATATTATTCTCTTTACTTTTGTATATGTTTGAAAATGTTTCTAATAAAAATTTTAAAAACTGCTAAGAAGCTATGGTAGTTAACAGCGACAGTCATGCAGGGATAGTCAACAGTTCAATGGAACAGAAAAGAAGCATTCATATAGCATATTAGCACATACAAGAGGTGGAAGGATTCACAATTTAATACATAGAAAATTGTACAAAAATAAATCATATGGATCTCATATTTATCTATCTTTTCATTGTGATTCTCACTCACCTTTAAGAGACTTCAAACCATCCATCAGTCTATTATTATAGATCTTTCCATCAGCTGGAGAAAGACACAAATCAGATCACACGAAGTGATGGGCATGTTAAGATTGTACAGCAAAAGTATAATTTGAGAAAATCAGACTTTATGATTTTCTATAGAACAATTCCAATTTACATTTAGATAAAATTTTAGAATAGTAGAGTGGAGAAAATATTTACTGTATTCATTTTACTTAGTCATTGTCACCTAAGGCTTTCACTCTACTATGCTGAAACACTCCTAAATTTTTCTTGTGCTTTATCTAATATCTTCTTCTCTTACCTCCTAGTAAACTCCCACCCATTTTATTTTCTCCTATCTCCTAGCTTGTTGCTGTTAGGTGCTGTTGAGTCAGTTCCGACTCATAGTGACCCTATGTACAACAGAACGAAACACTGCCCAGTCCTGCACCATCCTCATGATCATTGTTATATTTGAGCCCATTGTTGCAGCCACTGTGTCAATCCATTTCATTGAAGGTGTTTCTCTTTTTCGTTGACCCTCTACTTTACCAAACATGATGTCCTTCTCCCGGGACTGATGCCTCCTGATAACATGTCTAAAGTATGTGAGATGAAGTCTTGCCATCCATGCTTCTAAGGAGCATTCTGGCTGTACTTCTTCTGAGACAGATTTGTTCGTTCTTCTGGAAGCCTATGATATATTCAATATTCTTTGCCAACACCATAATTCAAAAGGATCCATTCTTCTTCGATTTTCCTTGTTCATTACCCAGCTTTCGCATGCCTATGTGGTGATTGAAAACACCATGGCTTGGGTCAGGCGTACTTTAGTCTTCATGGTGACGTCTTTGCTTTTTAACACTTTAAAGAGGTCTTTGACAGTAGATTTGCCCAATGCAATGCATCGCTTGATTTCTTGACTGCTGCTTCCATGGGTGTTGATTGTGGATCCGAGTAGAATGAAATCCTTGATAACTTCAATGTTTTCTCTGTTTATCATGATGTTGTTTACTGGTCCAGTTGTGAGGATTTTTGTTTTCTTTATGTTAAGGTGTGGTCTTGATCCTCATCAGTAAGCACTTCAAATACTCTTCGCTTTCAGCAAGCAAGGTTGTGTCATCTGTATATTGCAGGTGTTAATGAGTCTTCCTCCAATCCTGATGACTCGTTATTCTTCATGTAGGCCAGCTTCTCGTATTATTTCCTCAGCATATAGATTGAATAAGTATGGTGAAAGAATACAACCCTGATGCACACCTTTCCTGACTTTAAACCACACAGTATCCCCTTGTTCTGTTCAAATGACTGCCTCTTGGTCTAGGTACACGTTCCTTATGAGCACAATTAAGTGTTCTGGAATTCCCATTCTTCGCAATGTTATCCATAATTTGTTATGATCCACACAGTCGAATGCCTTTGCATAGTCAATAAAACAGGTAAACATCTTTCTGGTACTCTCTGCCTTCAGCCAGGATTTATCTGACATCAGTGATGATATCCCTTGTTTCATGTCCTCTTCTGAATCCAGCTTGGATTTCTGGCAGTTCTCTGTTGATGTACTGCTGCAACCACTTTAGAATGATCTTTAGCAAAATTTACTTGTGTGTGATATTAATGATATTGTTCATAATTTCTGCATTCTGTTAGATGACCTTTCTTTGGAATGGGTACAAATATGGATCTCTTCCAAAGAGGTTGGCCACATAGCTGTCTTCCAAATTTCTTGGAATAGATGAGTGAGCACTTCCAGTGCTGCATCAGTTTGTTGAAACATCTCAGTTGGTATTCTGTCATTTCCTGGAACCTTGTTTCTCACCAATACCTTCAGTGCAGCTTGAACTTCTTCCTTCAGTACCATCCATTCTTGATCATATGCTACCTCCTGAAATGACTGTAATGTCAACCAATTCCTTCTGGTACAGTGACTCTGTGTATTCCTTCCATCTTCTTTTGATGTGTCCTGCATCGTTTAGTATTTTTCCCCTAGAATCCATCAATGTTGCAGCTCGAGGCTTGAATTTTCTCTTCAGTTTTTTCAGCTTGAGAAATGCCAAGTGTGTTCTTCCCTTCTGGTTTTCTATCTCCAGGTCTTTGCACATTTCATTATAATACTTTACTTTGTCTTCTCGAGCAGCCCTTTGAAAGCTTCTGTTCAGTTCTTTTACTTTATCATTTCTTCCTTTCGCTTTAGTTACTCAATGTTCAACAGCAAGTTTCAGAGTCTCTTTTGACATCTGTTTTGGTCTTTTCTTTCTTTCCTATCTTTTTAATGACCTCTTGCTTTCTTCATGTATGATGTCCTTGATAGCATTCCACAACTCATCTGGTCTTTGGTCATTAGTGTTCAACGCGTCCAATCTATTCTTGAGATGGTCTCTAAATTGAGGTGGGAGATACTCAAGGTCGTACTTTGGCTCTCGTGGACTTGTTCTAATTTTCTTCAGCTTCAACTTGAACTTGCATATGAGCAATTGATGGTCTATTCCGGCCCCTGGCTTTGTTCTGACTGATATTGAGCTTTTCCATTGTCTCTTTCCACAGATGTAGTCGATTAGATTCCTGTGTATTCCATCTGTAGAGATCCATGTGTATACTTGCCGTTTCTAATGGTGAATAAAAGTATTTGCAATGAAGAAGTCATTGGTCTTGCAAAATTCTATCATACGACCTCTGGCGTTGTTTCTATCACCAAGGCCATATTTTCCAACTATTGTTCCTTTTTTGTTTCCAACTTTCTCATTCCAATCACCAGTAATTATCAATGCATGCTGATTGCATATTTGGTCCATTTCAGACTGCAGAAGTTGGTAAAAATCTTCAATTTCTTCATCTTTGGCTGGTGCGTAAATTTGTAAAATAGTCATATTAATTGGTCTTCCCTGTAGTCATATGGATATTATTCTATCACTAACAGCCTTGTACTTCAGGATGGATCTTGAAATGATCCTTTTTGACAATGAATGCAACACTATTCCTCTTGAATCTGTCATTCCTGGCATAGTAGACCATATGATTGTCCAATTCAAAATAGCCAATGCCAGTCCATTTCAGCTCACTAATGCCTAGGATATCGATGATTATGCATGCCATTTAATTTTTGATGACTTCCAGTTTTCCTAGATATATACTTCATAATACCACATTCCTATTATTAATGGATGTTTGCAGCTGTTTCTTATTTTGAGTTGTGCCATATCAGCAAATGAAGGTCCTGAAAGCTTGACTCCATCCACGTCATTAAGGTCAGCTCTGCTTTGAGGAGGCAGCCCCTGCCCAGTTGTATTTTGAATGGCTTCCAACCTGAGGGGCTCATATTTCAGCACTATGTCAGACAATATTGCACTGCTGTTCATAATGTTTTCATTGGCTAATTTTTTCAGAAGTACACTACCAGGTTCTTCTTTCTAGTCTGTCTTAGTCTGAAAGCTCAGCTGAAACCTGTCCACCATAAGTGACTCTGCTGGTATTAGAATACTGGTGGCATAGCTTCCAGAATCACGGCAACATGAAAGCCACCAAAGTACAAGAAACTGACAGATGTGTAGGGTCTCCTACCTTAGTCTTAATGATATTCTCTCACTGGATTCAAAAATAAGAACAGATAATTCCTTCCCTTTTGGCAAGCTGGTGAATTGAAGGGGCTGATTATTCCCAAACTAAAAATTAAATGACAAAGCTTGGATTTGATTCATAAAGAATAATTGTTGATAATTTATTGATAACATTTTTAGAAAGTCTTTCTTTTTTCGTACATCAAAAGACAAAAGTTAAGAAAGTTCCACAAAATGTGCACAATTATAAATTCTTTGAAGGCTACATTGTCATACGAAATTCTTACCATCAATTGGCATGTTTTTCATTAGCTTTTCTCGTTCCTTATCTGTGAACTCTATCCCCATATTTTCTAGTACATTTTCGAGGTCACTGACATCAATGGCTTTTCCTTTAAAAGATGAAAATACAGCTAGATGAGAACTTTTGGCTAATCCTAATCATTTCTTCAGCATAGAGTTTGTCTGTATTTCTCTTTATTCTGAGTTCATGCATCTTTAGTTTTATTTCACCATTTAAAACATCAACCCAGATTATGGTTTTTTTAAACATATACATAGTAAAATATATAATTAGCAAATAATCCAGAGAATAAAAATTTATTAACAAAACATTGACATTTTATTGCCAAAATGTAGTTAACTTAAAATTCAACTCTAGGTAATTAGATACATACATTTCGCCAATAAACAGGCAGAATGGCAATGAACTTCTCACTAACCTGTAACCGTTGTTAAAGCATCCATCAAGTTATTGACATCAACCTTCCCATTATCTGTAAAATAAGCCATTACTTAGACATAACGATGAAGACTTATAAAAATATAAAATGTCTAAATAGGTAAATGGAGATCAGTCAGAATATATTGACTCCACTAATTTAGCTGACTCAATTATAAGTGTTATATGTATAATAAGGATCAACTCTAGGGAGGCTTTGTTCTTAGGATGACAGATAAGAGTGTTGCCAAAGGAAAACGTATTTCTTAAGTTTTTAGGCTGACTTTCTACTTATAAAGTTGGCAGAAGTGCCAGTGATCCTGATACAGCTCTTTAGCAAACTTCAGCTCTGGCAGAGTCATATTTCTCAAACAGGAGTCTATGGTGAAAAGAGAAGAGACCACATATTTTATCTTCCTACCTTATCCTAACATTTCTCTAGCTGATTTAAGCGTTATCCTAGAATTGCTGGTCATGGAAGTAAGTGTTAGGAGACAATAACAAAATATATGTCTATAAATATCCCTCAAATGTTTCAAGTGAAGGAGAGAGGATTTAAGAAACTATGAGTCATTCAGATAAATCTGAAAAAGTAGCAACTGTTCCAATAATGGAAAGGACTCATCAGTATTCTTGGTAACATGATAACTGGGTAGAAAGAGGCTTCGTATTTCACTGAAAACTGATGGGTTAGACAAAATTCTGAGGAGAGACAATGATTGTACAGATTCCCCATATCTTAGGACTTCATAAAGCCTCTGGGTTACATTATTAATTACTATGAGATGGTAATGAGTCAATATTAATAAACAATAAACTGAGGATGTGTATCTGGTGACTAGGACTAGGGCCTGGGGGTAGAACTGGGGTCTATCTGAAATGAATGTAAAAGAGTAAGAAGAGGACAATAGGCCAATAATCTATTTCTGAACTGTATATGAACCTGTGTCCCCATTGTGTCACTGACATTTGGCATGGCTGCTGAGGGTTACAATCAAGAACAAAGTGATTTTACTTCTTGCTACACTCTCTCTGAATTAATACTTGGGAAATCAAATGACTCATGTGGGATTACAAGGGGACATACCTGGTTTGATTTTTTTTTTTTTTGATGAAATGATTCAGGGTCTTCTGGTGGCACAGTGGTTAAGCATTGGCTGCTAACAAAAAGGTCGGCAGTTTGAATCCACCAGCTGCTCCTTGGAACCCTACAGGGCAGATCTACTCTGTCCTATAGGGTTGCTATGAGTCAGAATCGACTAGACAGCAACAGGTTTTGTTTTTTTTTTTTTTGTGGTATACTAAGGAGCCCCAGTGGCGCAGTGTTTAAAGCAATCGACTGCCAACCAAAAGGTCAGTGGCTCGAAACCACCAGTGGCTCCACAGAAGAAAGTTGTGGCAGTCTGCATCCATAGAGATTTACAGCCTTAGAAACCCTATGGAGTCTTTACAAGTTGGAATTGACTTGACTGCAGTGGGTTTGGTTTCAGTTTAGGTGGTGGTATACTAGGGTCCCTGGGTAGCACAAATGGTTTGCCATCAACTACTAACTGAAAGGTTGTTGGTTTGAACCCACCCAGCTGTGCCATGGAAAAAAGGCCTGGAAATCTGCTTCTGCAAAGATTACAGCCCAGAAAACCCTATGGAGCTCACGTCTACTCTGTAACACAGCGGGTCACCATGAGTTTGAATCGACTTGACTGCAGCAGGTTTTGTTTTGTTTTTTTGGTGGTGTACTGCTTGGATGGAAATTATTAGCTAGGGTTCAAGTCAGAGAATCAACATTCATCAGAGAGGACATTTAATGGATTTCTACAACTCTTGACCATAAAGAGATTTTTCATTTGTTTCGCACTGATTTTGTTAGCTCTATTAATTCATTCTGTACATTTATCACATATATGTTATATTCCTAATATATGAAGTTACTGTGCTAAAAAGGGGTCTAAGATGGTGTATCCATGATTTCTACATACAATCTCACAGTTTATACACGAAGAGTGATAGATAAAAAGCCTATCTAAAAATTCAGTCAATCCAATAATACAGGCATATATAGGATAAAATTGAAACAGAGAAAGAAAATCTTTAAATAGTTTTAATGGGTCAGGAAAGGCTTCCTGGAGAAGTCAATCTCTGATTAACAAAGTTAAATATGCTTAAAGATATTTGAGAAAAGTGAAAATGAAAATCCAATAGAATGCTGTAGCACAGAAATCATGTGACAATAATAATCTATATATTCATTGGTGGAAGGAAATCATTCTACTAAATGCCAAGTGTTATACAAGGCACTGAGATTAAAATACATGCACACACATTCCATCCTGAGAATAACATAGCCTGCTTTTAAGGAATTCATTATCTGTGATACTATAGATAAATATGTGAGTATTGAAACAGAGAGTCTGAGCTGTAATAGGTCTGTGTGCCAAATGTTTCTAATAATAGCACAGGGAGACCTTCAGCTAGCATCTATCCATATGTATCCACTGCTTTGCAATCAGCTGAGGAGCATCCTGGAAAAAACCTTGAACCCTGTCCATATACAATACTGGGGTTCAGATATTTTGCTGGAGGGCGAAATGGAGGCAGAGAAGGGTGAGAGACGAAGTTATAAAGGCAGGCAGCGGTCAGATCATGAAGGGTTTCCTATGCCATGTTAAGGTGCACTGGCATTTTGCAGTAAATAATGGTAAACTGTTGAATAGTATTTATCTGGAAAGTAATATAAAAATGTTTGTGTCTTAGATAAAACATTCTGTCACCCCTGGGAATGATACATTTGACTGGAAATAAACTAGAAGTAAAGACCACGTTGAGGACTTCTGTGCTATGCAACCCATGGATAACAATGATTTGCAACATGGTAAGTAGCCACATATTGATAAAAACAGTGGAAAATTTATGAAATAATTTAGAAAGCCAAAATTACAGTACTTTGTGACTTAGTGTCTAATGGAATATGATAGTAAGGGGGAAGGTGAAGTATGACAATGATGCCAATATTTTTAATATTTCACTAGGAGCATAATCGTATCACCAACTTAGAGAGAACACAAAATTAGGGGCCAGGTTATGAGAGATAATTTTCAAATATGGTAAAATGGGGATATAGAAATTTGAGGCTATGGCAAGCAGATATGTCCAACAGAATGTGATTACGTCAAAATGTTTGGAAAGGAAACTGGACTTGAGAAAAAAATCTACAAGACTTTAGCATATAGACGACAGTTGAAAAAGTGGGTGCAGATAACATCTCTCACAGAGAGGGCACATTGAAGGCACTGGCGAAAAACAAGGCTCCAGGAATTGACAGAATACTAATTGAGATGTTTCAACAAATAGATGAAGCACTGGAAGTGCTCACTCGTCTATGCCAAGAAATCTGGAAGACAGCTACATGGCCAACCAACTGGGAGAGATCCTTATTTATGCCTATTCCAAAGAAAGGTAATCCAACCAAATGCAGAAATGATCGAACAATATCATTAATATCACACGCAAGTAGAATTTTGCTGAAGATCATTCAAAATTGGTTGCAGCAGTACATCGACAGGGAACTGCCAGAAATTCAAGCTGGATTCAGAAGAGGATGTGGAACGAGCGATATCATTGCTGATGTAAGATGGATCCTGGCTGAAAGCAGAGAATACCAGAAAGATGTTTACCTGTGTTTTATTGACTATGCAAAGGCATTCGACTGTGTGGATCATAAC